TGGGCTCCAGTCGAATCGGCTGCGCGAAGGACTGACGGGGGCATCTTCACGCTCATCCAGCGCGGACAGCTCGCCATACTACAGCCAAGCGTCGTCGCCGATGGTGCAACTCGTTCCCGGAACGTACAATGCGAACGATCAGCCTGTCACGTACAACTCGATGCTCTGGTCCGTCATGGCAGACGTCTCGAAGAGTGTCGGCGGAGTCGCCTACGTTATCAGTACGCTTTCCTTTTTTCCTGCTGCCCGCAGCATTCTAGAGCTCGGCAGACGTCCCCCTCGCTCTTCCGCCCAATGCGAGCCTTTCGGACGACATGCGAAGGATTCTGGGAAAGGATCTGGACTCCATGCTCCTCGGAAACGAACCCGATCTGTACAGCGGGTGAGTTTGATTCAGTCTGCCCCTATCTCCTGTTTACACAGACATTTCGCAGCCATGGTCAGTCAAACGCCCGAATTCCTAATCATTCGCTTGTGCCGACTGTTTTACAGGCAAGCGTCCAGGAATGACCAACTACACAGGTGTGCATCTTGTCTGTTATTCTTCGATCCGCTCACCTGTAATCGTTATTCGCAGTCGCTGACTATCTGGGCGTGCGTTCTCCCGCTTGATCAAGTCAGAAAGCTTTTGACACATCGAACTCGTATAGGATTTCTCCTCTGGTCTCAACGTAATCGGCTCCAAAGATGTGGCGGGTGTCAAGGATGTCGGCGGCCCTAGTGTATGTTGCAATTGGGTAAGTCTGTCCTGATCCCATTTCTGAACAAGCTGACGCTGTCCCCAGGATCTGCTTTCTCTTTTACAACAAGGGTATCTGTCGCAATTTACACCGGATCTCAAATACATCGTGCTACAACACTATCCTCAAAATAACTGCTTCGGATCCTTCAAATACCAGCTGCCGTACTACTTACAACATGCGAATGGTGAGCGGACAGCTTGACCGGATACGATTTCGACCGCTGATGCGGGCAGTCGTCGAGCTCGGACAGTGGCAGAAACCTGGCATCGACTATCTTTACTCGCAGCCTGCCACTGGCCGCCCGACTTTGATCAATTCTGAGTTCAACAGTGCTTCCTGCGGCGGCGTGCCCTATTCTCCTGCTTTCGGAGTCGGGTCGCTGTGGATCATGGATTACTCTTTGCAGATGGCTGCGGTTGGCTACACCCAAGGTCCGCCCTTTTTTATGCCTTTAGCAGGACGACATGCTGACGACAGATTTCCATAGCGTACATCCACACTCGGGAAGCTGTATGTGCGATGGAACCGCCGTCTAGCCGTGTCTAATCAGATGTCAGGGGATTTCGTACAACATGCTCAAGCCGCCTATCGGTCCCGCGGGAACTGCCGGAGCCTGGGTCACCAACTCCCCGTACTATGTCAGCAACTCCATCACTCTACTCCGTGTGTGGATTCTGAGATCTGTCGCAGGCACTGCTCGCGGTCACGGAGGCGCTGCTCACAGACAACGGTGCTCACGTGGTCGACCTCAACCTCGGTGGATCCAGCTCGAACGTCAATGTGACTACGGCTGGCTACGCCGTCTACAATGCCGGAAACCAGACTGTCAGCCGTCTGATCCTCTTCAATTACGGCAACTCGTCGACCGACTTCGCCATCCCCGGGTCAGCCTTCAGCTCTTCTGGCACTGCGCTCGTCAAGTTCCTCGCGGCTGCGACACCCGAAGAGGAGACCAACATCTCCTGGGGTGAGCTTTCTGACCCGTTTTCAGTTCGGCGGCTGACAAAGGTCTGACGCAGGGGGTGAGACTTGGGCTCCCGGTGACGGCAAATCGTCTGGCTCGCCGAGCTGGGCTGTTCCGAACCAGAATCTCTCAGGTTGCTCGACCAACGGGTGCACGTTCACAGCACCAGGGCCCAGCATGGCCATGGTCTTCCTGGACAATGCCCAGTACGCAACGATCGCCGCTGTGAATCCCTCCTCCTCGTCTACTGGTACCGCGGGAGGCTCCTCAAGTTCCCCGTCGCCTTCGTCTGGCGGCCATAGTGGGGCTGCCCATGTACTCGCCCAGCCTGTCAATGCGCTTTTCGGTGCTCTGCTCTCCGTGTTATCGTATGTTCTGTTGTGATATATTACTGCTGACACGGCAATGCTTTCCGTCATCCGGACTGTACATAGAGTACTAAAGTTGTAATCTGCGTTTGCGAGAGCAACATCTACATACACGCTCGTTTTGTTTTAGCTTACGGTACATACCTACTACACAGCCACATGATCTGAGCCTCACGGCTTTCCCCATCTACGATGAACTCGGCGGACAAGGACGATTTCACTTTTGCAAAACTATCCGACATAAAGCTACCGGTTACGTTCCGAATGCACGTCCACGCGTTGGCCAGCAAGTGCAGCGTCCACCAGACTAACGATACTGCACAGATCCCAGCTCGAAGGCGTGCGTCAGCCGCGCACCTTCACCGAGCTGCTCGACAACCCCGAGCTGCGCTTCCACGGCGTCCAATCTCCGTGCGTCCGCCGCTCCCCCGCGTCCAATCCCTCTTCTTATCTATCCACTCATTGAAGAACCCTCTCAGACTTATACGTTACCTGTCAGCTCACCGCAGACAACAAGCCGCTGACGATCCCGTTCCGCACGTCCTTCAAGGCGTTCAAGCACAGCTATACGTGGAACGAATGGATCACGCTCCCCGTGCGCTACTGCGACCTCCCGCTGGGCGCGCAGATCGTGTTCACCGTGTGGGACATCGCGGGCCCGCGCGCGGCCATCCCCGTCGGGGGGTCCACGTTCCGCATGTTCGGGAAGAAGTGGTGGGTCCGGTTGTGAATGTACAATGCGGAGGCCGCTGATTCGTCCAGGACGCTGCGGCGCGGGAAGCATCGCCTGCATTTGTGGCGGGATGTAGAGGGCGATGGGTCGGTTGATTCTGCGACTCCGAGTAAGCTGGACGAACGGGATGAGATGGGCCGGCTGGAAAAGGTGGGCTTCCTTTGATCCCTCTCGACCAGTGCACTCAGACTCACGCGCCTTCTTAGCTGGTCAAGAAGTACGAACGGGGCGATCTCTCGAAATGCGACTGGCTGGACAAGATGGCGTTCCGGAAGATGGAGGAGGTGCATGCAGCCGAGACGGCCAAATCGGAGAACCTGTTCCTGTACATCGACCTTCCCCGGTTTGACTTTCCCGTCATCTTCAGCGAACCCGAGGTCCCCACCGCGTCGACCTCCGCTCTTCCGATCCCGTCGGCGCCCATCGTTCCATCGCCCTCTTCAACCTTTTCCTCGGAACCCCATCTCTGGGCTATCATCGATCCGGACATTGCCCGCGAGAACCCCGTGGAGGACAAACACCGCCGTCTGGTTCGCAGTCACCGGAGCAGTCCATACGATCGCGAGCTCAAGCCCAATGCGAAGATCCGGGACGAGCTTGCTGTGCGTGTCGAATCTTTCACCATTCTGATTGTCTCATCGTTCCTAGGAGATTCTCAGTTACGCGCCGAGTCAACCACTTACTTCCGAGGAGAAAGACCTCATCTGGAAATTCCGATTCTACCTCGTGCGCGACAAGCGAGGGCTGACCAAGTTTTTGAAATCTGTGACATGGAGAGACTCTTCGGAGGTCAAGCAGGCTGTGGAAGAGCTGCTGCCACAATGGACGGAAATAGACACCGATGACGCGCTCGAACTGTTAGGGCCCGGCACGGTCGACTCGAGAGTGCGAGCTTTTGCAGTGCGACAATTAAGTCGAGCCGACGACGATGTCAGCGCTGTCCAATTGCTACTGGGGGATCGCTGATGAGTTCAACAGGAGCTTTTGTTGTATCTGCTGCAACTGGTGCAAGCGCTCAAGTTCGAGAGCACGGCTGCAGATCAGCGTTCTTCGCGCACGACCACGACGAGTGCTATATCGTATGACGACAGTGGCCTGACCGACTTCTTGATTAGCCGAGGTGTTTCCAATGCCGTGCTAGGGAACCGGCTATATTGGTACCTGATCGTCGAGGTCGCGCAAGATCAGTCCGTGGCCAAAATGTACGGACGTGTGGTGTTCCGGTTCATGAACAAGATCGTCGAGAGCGAAGGCGGGTCGGAGCGAAGGGAGCTGATGCGGCGACAGGGTCTGCTCATCGACACGCTGGCGAAACGAGCGAACGAGCTGCGGACGTCGAAGGACCCGCGAAACAAGAAAATCGAGAAGCTGCGCGGGATCATCACCGACACGAAAAACAACCTCGCGTCGATGGCCCCGCTTCCCCTGCCGCTCAATGCGTCGATCGAGATCACGGGGATCGTGGCTGAACAGTCGTCGGTGTTCAAGAGCAATCTGTTTCCGCTGCTGCTGTACTTCCAGTGCTCGGACGGATCGACGTATCCTGTCATCTTCAAGGACGGAGATGACATGCGGCAGGACCAGCTCGTCATCCAACTATTTACGCTGATGGATCGCTTACTGCGCAAGGAAAATCTCGACCTCAAGCTCAGTCCCTATGATGTGCTTGCAACGGGCCCGCTGCAGGGCATGGCACAGTTCATTCCCAGCAAGACCATCGCAGCGATCGTCAGCGAGCATGGAAATCTGTTGAACTATCTTCGCGCTCATAACCCCGATGCTGGGAGCGTCGGTACGTCGGGTGTCGAGCCGAGCGTGATTGATACGTTTGTGCGTAGTTGCGGTCAGTCCGTTTCTTGCTTTTCGTTTTCCTCTCTCTAAACTCTTCTCAGCTGGTTACTGTGTGGTGACATACCTGCTGGGTGTCGGGGATCGGCATTTAGACAATCTGTTGTTGGCACCAGATGGTTAGCTGGCCTATACTTCTTGCAACTCTAGCATACTGAACCGCCGAAGGGCACTTTTTCCATGTAGACTTCGGATACATCCTGGGGCGTGACCCCAAACCGTTCCCACCCGCGGTAAAGGTGTGCAAAGAGATGGTGGACGGAATGGGTGGCGTGCAATCGCCCCATTACGCGCGCTTCAAGAATTTTTGCTTCACCGCGTTCACGATCCTGCGCAAGAGCGCCAATCTGATCCTCAATCTCGTCTCCCTTATGGTCGACGCCAACATTCCCGACATCAAGCACCGGGACGTGCACGAGCAGTTGCAGGAGAAATTTAGATTGGATTTGACGGAGGAAGAGGCCATCAAGCACTTCGAGACGCTGCTCAACGAGACGTCGTATATCACGGTCGTATTCGACCGCATCCATGACATGGCGCAGTATTGGCGTAGTTAGAGTAGTCGCGGGCCAAAGCGTGTAGAGTATGCAATGCGGATATGTATTCTGATGTGCGGAGTGTGTGTATTAACGGCGGTTTTCGAAAGCACGGAGAAATGTCTACTTCTTGCTCCTGGTGGGTTGGCGAAGGCGCGCCCGCGGTCAGTCCGAAGTGCAGACACGAAAAACTGCGACACGCACTTCCATGTGAACCGCTTTTTCGTCGGCGAGAACTCCCCCAGCTTATGCCCCACCATGTCCTGCGTCACTACCACCGGGACGTAGTCCCGCCCGTTGTGCACGAGAAACCGGATTCTGCGGAACGTGAGCACCCACAGAGGCATGTTCTCGGAATAATGCACACGCACCCCACGAATGTCGGCAGGATAGTACATGCCCGCGCGTCGGTCTTGATCGGGATATGGCTCTCCGCTGCCTCGCGGAGGTTGGGGAACGCGACGAAGTACGGGCCTAGTGTTCAGAACGTTCATTCGCGGCGGCGGGTGGCTTCAGAGCGCGTAATACGCACCTTTCCAGGCGGAACGGCCCGACTTGAGGAGAATTTGAGTAGGCCGCATGGCGGGCGAGCGTCCGAGTGTCCGTGCGGAGGGAGGTGGATGATGATGGAGGAGAAGACGAACAAACAAGGGTAAGCAGTGCTACGCCTTTGCTCCCAGAATGGAAAGAGAACTTTCGAATGTGGCTGCTGGTGGCGGTGGATTACCACAGCGTGGAAAAGGACAATGCTCAAATGTTTCACTTTAAGAAAGTGGACAGGACAGTAAATGAACAAAATCGAGCTGCAGTAGCTGCGAGCTCAAGAGGCTAAGACGCTCGGCAAAAGATAGGGCTGCACTGGGAGTTGAACCCAGGACCTCCTGCAATCAGATTTACATCCCAAAGCAGGAATCATACTTCTAGACCATACAGCCGTGCGCGCTTCATGACAACAAGAGTCCATCATGAATGACTCAATTTGAGAGCTTTAACAACTTGCGCTTCATACAGCCTTCACTCAAATTGAGCATTCACAACACTGAAGACTACCGTCCATGACGAAAAAAAACAGCGACGTGGGATATCCCCTTTCAAGACTCTCCGTCATTCATGATCAATGAATTCCCTTCCCCACCCAGCTCTCAGGTACTGTAATCCGCTGTATTGACACAAAGCATTAAATGAATAACTGTGATGTAGAAAAAGTGATACAGTTTGGTGTGTTCTATCAAACGGATAGGAGCATTAAGGAGAAGACGGCGCACTGGCGGCCGGTGGTACGGGCGAGGAGCCCCAGATCCATTCTTGCACCGCAGCAGGCGCAGCTTCGATATCAGAAGGAAGCCTGTGTGTGTGCAACTTCTTCAGCAAAACATCCACGGACGAATCTAGAGGTAGACTGACGTGAATTTAGGCTCCCATCGGTTGTTGCGGAACTCGAAGAAACGCTGGACGTGTTTCGCTCCGTTGTCTTCGAGGTTCTTGCTCCGGTTCCGTTGGGCGTCCTCGACCGCGCTTTTGGCGTTGGTCGCGGCCTCCATGTCCTTGTCCACGATGGCCTTGGTAAGGTCTTTCCAGAGGCGGCGCGACTCGTTGGGCTCCTGGTCGTCCAGGGCACAGACCCGCTTCGTGACGATGTTGCCCCCGTCCTTGTCAGCGTCGAACAAAACGTGTTTCTTGCCCGACTTGGCGCTCTTGAACTCCATGGTGTGGCTCCATCGCCCCGAGATCTCTCCGACGTCCGAAGAGTTGTGGCGCACCCGGCCAGCAATGGCATTGTAGGTCCCCGAGAAAAAGCCCTGTGATACCATACGAGATCAGACGTGCTTCAACGTGACGACCACGCACAACGCGCACGCACCTTAGTCTTGAATTCAAGGTCGCACGAAAGCGCGTTGTTGCTGTTGGTGGCCGTGCAGGTATCCCCCAGCTCGAGCACCATCTTGCCAAACAAAATCCCGCGCGCGTACATGTTTGGCATGGTAATCACGTATTCTGTGCGTACAAAGAGCGGAGTTCAGTGTCGATGACAAGATGTCGGAGACAGAGAGCGCCACGCACCACCATCCTGCTGACTGCCCAGCAAAATGACCCTGTTCTCTCCCTCCATCGTCGTCGAGACGCTGTTGCCCAAGAACTTGGATTTGGGCCGCAGTTCGCCGACGATCGCGACGCGGTTGGCCGGGGACACATAGTAAAAGGCCGAGATCGGGGGGTGGTGAGACACTGCAGCCAGACAGACACCGCTTATGTCAACGTGCACGATCAGCATAAGCGCAGCATGACGCACCCTGCTCGGCGACGTAGAATCCCTGCGTGCCATCCGGATAGTCGTACCTGCACCGGAAAAACTCCCCCAGCACGGGGTTGTAGGGCTTCTTGACGCCCTTGGGCTTGATGTGCCACCCCGCGAGGTAGTACTGCAAAACCCGCATGAAACGCTCTTCCGGATCCGGACACGTATCCGCGCTGCACAAAACGGTCAGATATGAGGGCGCAGCTGCGCAGATGACGCACCCGAAGATGAGATCTGGGTGCGACATGAAATCGGTGATGCGCTCGAGCATGCTGCGGGGCTCCAGCACGAATGTCGGGAACGTTACACGCGAGAGATCCATTCCGATTCTGGAAGGGCATGAGGATGAGTGATAGAAAAGCGGCGCACACACCTCAGCTGGGATATGAGCGAAAGGATGATGGATCCTTCATTCTCGTCGCTGCCGATGGAGAGGGTAAGTGGTGGGGACGTCATGAAGAGTGACAACGGACAGAACAGATGTCTCATCCGGTTCCGTGTCTTCGGGAGCTCTGTCCTCATCGGAACCTCGAGGCTTTCCACGGAGGCTGGCGCCGGCCTGGCTGAACAGGCCCATCATTGCAGTCGGTAAGTAGAAACGAAGCAGTACACAGCAGCTGTTGCCCAAAGGGGTTATCGCAAGAACGTGTAATGATTCATGCGTCACGAGCAAATAACACACAACTCTGCACTGGTGCCAGGGTCAAGCCAGGGTAGAGCAGGGACCCCGGATAATGCAGTCAAATGTTAGCCCAAAATTAGCTGGTGGTCCTCATATTTATCCAACCCGTACAGATCCGGAAATTTTGAACTTTTATGCTTACACACATTAAAACTTGAGCTTTTACCATCAGTGACAATTTCCAGGAAAATGCAGAGGACCGCGAGAGTCCGTCAGAGAGTGATGGAGAAAATGATGGCAGGGTGAATTAGTGGGAATGGGCCATCGAAAGAAAAAAAAAACGAAATAAAATTTGCTATACAAAACATACTAAAGTGGGTTGCAGTCGATTTGGAAGCCTACAAAAGTGTAACAGGACAATCACTGCTGAACCAGACTAGAGCTGTCCAGCAGAACACTTGGAGCTCTTTTCTTATTTAGATCTTATCCAAATTTGTTCGAGCCTAATTGAAATATAAATGAGAAACGACCTCCAAGGTTGTGCTCCACCGCGATCATGTGACACCCCGAACACGGAACACAGGCCTGAAGCGACTCTCACGCACTTCTCCTCCGCTACATGGAGCCACCAGTGGGGTCGTTCTACATCTCCCTACGTCACAATGATGCGCATTGGAGCGGTCCCAGAAGTACGGGTGTGCAAGCGTAAGGTCAAGAGGCAGTCGACAAACTTGACAGTGCAGAGTGCCCTGTCCACAGATGTCTTCCGGGTCAGAACGCTGATCGCATGGACCGCGAATTGCCAATTTTGGACACAATTTCGGAGGCTCCTTGTCCCAATTCAGTTTACTCATAGCTCCACTAAACAGATTTCAGTGAGCAAAAAATGCTCCGCAACGAGATTCTTCTTATGAAAAAAATCGTTTTTAGCTTCTGCTGGACAGCTCTACTACCACTCAACAATTTTTGTTTAACACCTGTGTTCTACCTAACCGAACAGAATTGTCCAATAGCGATTTGACTGAATTATCCGGGGTCCTGGTCAAGCCAGGGCACAGCATTAGTCTATGTCATCTAGTCAAATATGATCTTGGTGGGCTTGCTAGGCATAGGAATGTCGTTCCTGAAGAAAGCGCCGTACGCGCTGTGCTCCTTTTTTTTGATCGTCATTGGGAATTTTTTGAGACCCTCGCACTCAAAACCACTCTCTCGCAGCACCTTGGCCAGCTCCCCTGCGATGCTGCGCTCGTGATTGTCCCCGGTGAAGAACGTGATTGATTTTCCGGATTTGCCCCCTCGGCCTGCGGGACCAGGTCAGCCCAGGCATCGCAGAAAGAACGAGGCGCCACATACCAGTCCGCCCGATCCGGTGGATGTAATCCTCGATGGTCAGCGGGAACGTGTAGTTGAGAACCAAACCGACGTTCGGAATGTCCAGCCCGCGGGCGGCAACATCCGTGGCCACCAGCAAGCCGGTCGATCCGTTCTTGAATCGTTCCAGGGCTTCAAGGCGCGCATTTTGTGACAGGTCGCCGTGCAGAGCTCCGACGCTATATCCGTCGCGCCGGAGCATCTCCTCGACGCGCGATGCCTCTTTTTTGTAGAGCGCGAACACGAGAACGCGGTTCTCACCGCTGCCATTGGTCGTCGTTTTCTTGTGACCAAATTGGCGCAGGTGCTTCAGCAGACGTTGGCTGCGAAGGCCATCAGAACTGTCTGACAGCGCTGCATTCTAATCAAGCACGCACTCTTTCGACCTCGCATCGTCAAACACCTCCACCTCTTGTGTGACACGGCTGTTCGCGGTCAAGTCATCGCTGCCGACGGTCACACGCACAGGGTCCTGCTGGAACGTGCTCGCCAGCCGACGCACTGCTTCCGGCCAGGTCGCACTGACTGCAATCCGATTTGAGATTCAGCACAACGAGAAGATAGAGCATGAGAGCTGAGACGCACACATCACCGTCTGCCGGTCAGCGCCTTGTTTCGTGTTGGAGATGATGTTGCGGATATCGTTCTCGAACCCCTTGTCAAGCATCCGATCTGCCTCGTCGAGCACGAGGTAGTTGACGCTGGCAACGGCGCATTAGCACACACAGTCGCACGCGAAGAGGGTACCCACTTGCTCAGATCACACGCGCCCTCCTGCACGAGATCCAGTATCCGACCCGGGGTCCCGACGACGATACGCGTCGTGGTCCCCTTCTTCCCCTTGTTCATGTTCCGGAGCATCTTTACCTGTGGCTCCTTGGGGACACCACCGAACACAGCGACACTCGCGATGCCGAGCGGGGTGCCGATCTTGTCCAGCGTTTCGTGCGTCTGCAGCGCCAGCTCGCGCGTCGGCGCGACCACCAGTACGCTGACCGTCGAGGAGGCGTCGCTGGACGGGGAGGAGGTCAGCAGCCGGGCCAGGGCAGGTATTCCGAAAGCCAGGGTTTTGCCACTGATGGCTCGTAAGCGGCGTGGCGCGCTCTCATTGCTGGGGCGCTACACACCTTCCAGTTTCTGCGATACCGACGACATCGCTCCCAGCTAGTGCAGGTGGCCAGGTGCAGGCCTGGATCGGCGTGGGCTTGGAGAATCCCGCGAATGACGATCGCAGTGCCGATGGGATGTCCAGCTGGCCGAAGGCAAGAATAGGCCGCAGGCCCTCTTTCCCAGGCGGCGTGTGTATCGTGATGGAGTTCTCGGACAAGAACGCCGCGGCTTCATCTGCAGACGCCCCTGCGAGAGCCGTCGTTCTCTCCGAGTTCTTCTGGGTTTTGTCCTTCTTCTTCTTGCCATGCTCGGGAGTCTGCACCGCCGTCGAGGATTCGGCGAGTGGCGCAGACTCAGACGCTGCTTTCTCTTGACGTTCTTTCTCCTTCTTCTCCTTCTTCCTCTTCTTCCGCTCGGCCTTATCGTCCGCCGCCGCATCCGCCATCTCGACGTCTCCCGCGGCGTCGCCTTCCTTCTCCTTCTTCTTCTTGTCCTTCTTGTCCTTCTTGCGCGTCGCCGCCGCATCTGACCAACACCAAGTGAGCACGACCCCAGGGCAGCATGGCGACAACGCGCTAGGCAGCGGAATATGCGCACCTTCTGCGATCGGCGTCACGTTCTCAGCCGCAGCCGCAGCCCCCGCATCGACTTTGGCCTTCTTTTTCTTCTGCTTGGAACCGGCGTCGTCGTCCTCGCCTGCGATCCGTGTCAGCACCGGCAGACCGCGCCGCACTCCAATCCGGTGTGCGCACCGTCGCCCTCCGCCCGCCGCTTCTTGGTCGTCTTCTCCCCGTTCATCGGGAGCACCGGTACGGCGGAGTCCGCCCCCGCGCCTTTGCGCGCCGCCTTCGCAGCGGCCTTCTCCTCCTTGCTCTTCTTAGCTTTCTTCGGCACGTCGGACATCACTTGGTCTTCAGACATCGCGTTGCGTAGGGCGGTAGCACCCAAGTTCCCAGATGGCTAGATAGATAGACAGATATGCAGCACGCTCCGAGTCGCGTCGTCCGAGTCGCTCTAGTGCACCGACCGAACCCGATCTGAAGAAATGGCGGCGGGGAAAGTTTTCGCTGTTTGTTTGGTCGCGATCACGCCGATCAGGCGTGCGTGGCGGTACGATCTGATTGCAGGGTTGAATTTCGCCATCGATGCGGGCGCTCGAGTTTTACAGCGGCATAGGTAGCGAGTTGTCTTTGCGGGCCGCCCCCTGTGATGGATTTCTGACTTATCTTACCAGGGGGTCTCCACCTCGCTCTCGTGCGCAGCCACGTGTCCGCTGAGGTCGTCCGGGCCTTCGACTGGGACCAGAACGCGTGCGAGGTATATTCCGCGAACTTTGGCCAAGGAATCGCACAGAAGGTTCTTTTCACGGCTTCATTCCTATTTTCGAGACCCTTAAGCGAAGTTCAGACGGACATCTCTACACTGACTGCTCAATATGTCGCCACACTGGATGCATCGCTCTGGCTCCTGTCGCCTGCTTGTCAGCCCTATACCGTCCTGAATCCATCCGCGAAAGGCGACAAAGATCCCCGTGCCAAGTCGTTTCTCTATCTGATCCAGACTGTCCTGCCAGAACTGGTGTCGATGGAGAAGCACCCGACGCATTTTCTAGTTGAGAATGTGGCTGGATTCGAGGCGAGTATTGTGCCCTGTGCGGCTCATCATTGTTTCATCGAAAACAGGGCTCTACGACGCGCCAAATCTTGACATCGACGCTCCAGTCGCTGGGTTACTATATCGCCGAGTTTCTGCTCACGCCGCTCCAATTCGGCATCCCGAACTCGAGACTCAGATACTATCTCCTCGCGAAACGTTCCCCATTTGCGCAGCCGGGGGATCCACATCCACTTTCTCCCTTGAGACATATTCCCGGTGCGGGCTGTGAGGACTGGGTCGACACTCGAGACGAGCCATCCGCCACCGCAGCCGCCCATCAGGACGTGACGGAAATTCGCGAGTACCTGGATCCCGACCCAGCATCAGAGGAGGATTATTCGATCCCCGAGAAGGTGCTGCGCAAGTGGGGCCGTCTGTTCGATATCGTGTTGCCCTCGGCTCGACGGTCGTGTTGTTTCACGCGAGGTGTGTTTGATGTTGCGTTCAGTGCCACCCACTGTTGAAATTATCGCGGCGTGGGAGGATACACTCAGCTCGTCGAATGCGCAGGATCCATCGTGCAGCTAAATGAGGACGAAGACGTGCGCAAGCGTCTGTCATCCAATCACCCGCCCCGATGTTGAAAATCCTGCAGACAACGTCCGTGTTCGACGCCTTCCTCGACGCACAAACAACGTCGCGGCCCGAAGATGCGGTGCGAATCCTGGACTGTCTCCGGCTGCGCTACTTCACCCCGGACGAGCTGCTCCGCATATTCGCCTTCAACCCCCTCCGCACGCCGCAGACGTTCACCTGGCCGCCGTCTGTCTCGCGCAAAGTCAAATACCGGCTCATCGGAAATAGCGTCAACGTCCGTGTCGTCACGGAGCTGATCCGTTATCTCTTCCGAGAGTGAATGAATGAATGAATCATACGAGAGCCAGGGCCATACGAAAGGCTGAAATGGACCGAAAGTTAAATTCGAATTTAAGGAGCCGGGATTCGACGCGCGGGAATTGCATCAAAGTCAAGTTCAATCGGGCGTATCCAGATACTGGCCTCAACCATTCAAAATCCCTTCCGAAGATGCATGAATCAGTGGATAGAAATACAGCATTGCAGAAATAATAGTCCAGTATACTATACATACAGCCTCCGAGACTCAAGGCCCAGAAAATCCACCTGCCGTCGTATTCATACCCATGGTATTGTTGTTCTGCATCGCAGCCATTTGCATCGTCTGATCATGGTGGTGATGGTGGTGCACGTGACCGGGACTGTGAAAATACGTCGGAGGCGGCACGTCCGGCGTATATATTGTCGTCGCCGGATACCCCGCTCCTCCGATGATATACGTGGACTGTGTCTGCCGGATCCCCTGCATTCTCCGCAGCCGCGCGTAGCGCAGCGCGGCGAACCCGAACGAGCACACCGCCACTGTGTGCGCGCGCGCGCGTCGTCAGCAGCTGCAACCCGGAATGAGGAGTGAGCGAGCGAGACTCACGGACGACGATGATCACGATGACTACGATGAAGATCGGGGGTGGCGTGCTGCTGACGCACAGGCCGCTGTTGTTGCATGGGATCAGCTGTGCGGGGGCATCTGAGATCTCTGGTTCATGTGAACGCACTTGACGCAATCTCTCCACGCGAGCGCGGGAGAGATCAGGCATAACGCAACGAGCAGAGCAGAGGGCGGTGACATAAGCATGAATGAGGGGGTTCGTGCTTCAGCATCAGCCGTCCGCTTGTTATAAGCATGCAGGGCCGGCGGGGCTGTGCGTCGAGCATGGACGCGGTGAAACGCCTCTCGTGCATCTTGGGCCATCACAGATTTCTGTGCGATACATAAATAGATACGTGCGGCTTTCTCCACCGCCAAGCACACGACAGAGCGCGGCCAGAGAAATAAAAGTCAATAAAGTACACGAACAATTACGCAGGACAGGGAGGTATACTAACGCACACAAAAGTCAGAAACCATCAAACGCAGCGGGGGCGAGAGAGCACCATCGACCGCCCACTGCTACAACCGCAGCGCCGGACGGGGGCCACCCAAGTCCCATCGTCCGGCCACGCACGATAATGTACACACACACAGAAACACATTCGCGCCGTCAGGCCCGCCGCCGCGCCGGGCGCGCCCCGCCCCGCGAGCTCTCGAAGCGTTTCAGGATCTCGGCATATCCCTCGCGGTCGACACGGTGGATGTAGTACGTCCCTCCGCTATTGCCCCACGACACGCTCCCCGAGTGGTACTCCATCTCCGTCACGTCGAAGATCGCGCTGATGTCGTCCACCTGCGCAGATCGTCAGCACCGCACCGCACCCCTGCCAACCAAACGGGAAGCACTCGCATTTCGTTCCGTGAGCCGTGCGTTCACAGAAGGCACAAACGGCGCCAGCGACACGACATAGGCGCCCTCTTTCAGATCTAGGAATTTAGGTCGCAGCTGCTCGTTCACTGGACCCTCCATCAGACACTACACGGCGCAAAGATAACCAGAAACGAAACTCACGGCTCTGTTCAAAGACCTTGTTGTCGACCAACACGACGTCGGCCTGGCTGATCAGCTCGTTGACCCGCGCACTCTTCAGCATATCGCCCTCCTCGAGCTCGATCTCGCCCAGCCTCAAGCCCCACATCCGACAGCGCACCCGAAAGTGCTCCGCCATGTCCCGCGCCACTTTCGCCGGCGTGGGATTGAGCTCGATCCCGTAGCTCCTGCAGCCGGACTGCAAGCTCGCCTGCGCAACGACATTACCGACCCCGCTCCCCAGATCCAGGAACAGCGAGTTCTCTTTGAGCCCCGTGGCGACGACGATGTCGTAGACGAGCGACGGGAGAAGTTCCCCGTACACCGCGCTCGAGAACGCCTCGTAGTGCTTCAGCTTCTGCACATGCGGCCCGACGCTCCGCTGGTAGTTCTCCTCGATCACACGCATGAGCACCTGCTTCGGGAGCCCCGCGTCCGTCCACTTCGTCACCATCTGCATCAGCGAGTTCGTCCGCGGGAGCGCGGGGTACTTGAACCGGCGCAGGATCTTGTTGATGTCGTGGAAGGCCTGCAGGAACATGGGCCCGTTGCGCATGTGGATCGCACGCTGGACTTGACGCAGAAGCGGCAGCCGCCCCGGCGCGGTCTCCAGCATAGGGTGGTCCTCGTCGTCAGATACGTCTGACGATGTAGAGGGGATCGGCGAGGGTGATTCTTCCCAGGTGAAGTGGCTACCTTTTGGGACTGGCCCAAAGAGCTTCTGCTGGGAAGGCGTCAGGTAGCCTGGGGCTGGATGAGCAAGAACTACCACGCAAGGACGAACACAGCGCACGGTCAACTATCATATATAACGACTGCTCGACATCCATGATAGGATTATAATGGTCCTTGTCTTTGGGGGCGAGAAGAATGAATCTTAGGGGCTTTCAGTCATTGGCTTACGCATGGACTGCAGCATACTGGACCTTTCTGCGGCATTCGAGTTCGGGTACTCAAGCTCAACCACAGGGTAGTTGGTCGGATGTGGCTTGAACGAGGTGTCAGCCAGATCGTCAGGGTTCTTAAAGTCTGCAATTGCGTGAGCACGATCGACCCCACGAACGCCTGACACAAAAGCGACACACATCCACAGTAGGTCCGCAGGAGCAGCGCAACCGCGTCCTCTGAGCTGAAATGGTGCGGGTCGTCCCCCGCATCCGCCTCGGCGCTCCACGACCGCCGCTGCGGCGCCAGCCCGGTCTCGACGGAGAAGTACGACCCCGAGCGCGACCGCGCGCTGCGGTAGATGGGCTCCGGCGTCGAGCGCGCGGACGTGTTCTCGCTCGCGGCGCGTCGTGCGGCCTTGGCGGACGGCACGGCGCGCCTGCGCGGTTTTTCTTTGTCGCCGCGCAGCTTTTTGACCTGCCGCGGCACGGCGGCGGGTTCTGCGTGTGCGCCTAGGGGGGCGTCCGGCGCGGCGGCGGCGTCCGCGGCCGGGGACTTGCGTTTGCGCGTGGGGCTCGAGATGGGGGACGAGGTGGGGGGCGTGGAGAGGGGGGACGCCGGGGTCGACTTGGACGCACGCGCCGGGCTGGAGGTCGAGGGTGTGGGGCTGGCGACGACTCGCTTGACTACGCGTGTCCTGACGTGCGGTGGGCAGGGGAGAGTGTGGGTAGCGTGCCGCGGAGGGGAGCTGAAGAAGCTGTGGTCGGTTGTTGCGCACAGCATCGTCGACGGTGGGGAGGAGGTGAAGGTCATATCACGAGTGGATCTAAAGTCATGCCACGTGTACAGCCACTGGCTCAGACAAGTTGTTTCATGTGGTTGCTCCCGTTCGGGTACTCTTTTTTGCTTCTTGCTCTCATGTCCCGCAGACTTGTGGATGCTAAAGAACGAAAATACATTTTTTTTCGGCCATAAGAATTGCTTCCCGGGCCAATCGATTCCTCAGGAGTACTTATTAGTCTTGCTCTGCAATTTTCAAAAATTGAGCAAAATGTTCCTGGACACACTTCCTCGGGTAATTTTTTTTCATGCCAGGTGCTGAGGATGAGTGTCTGAGCTCGAGGGCAGCCCTTTTCGAAATTGTCCGTCAAATATCTCAATTGATCATATCAGTTACCCAATCACCAAGTCATCCCTACAAGTTCATGTTCAGACTACGCTGATTTTACCGCTCAAAAAACGCACCGGAAATCCAGTATTATTTACTCTCACACGAGGCCTCTTTCTCGGGGAGCCCTCGAGTGAGAGAGCAAAGTCGTCGCTTGCCAGTCTGAACCGGGGCCGTGTTTTCTAACGCTGCGACCACCAGGTCGACGCACAAAGAAGTATTACAAGGTAGTGCTCGTATAAAAACGAACTCGGGAACAAATGCCATGCGAGATGGCCTTTCAATCGCCCCAAAAGAACTTTCATACTCGACAGTTCAGTGTTGACTGCAGGCACATTGATCCTTCAAGTCACGTGAAATATCGGGCGTTCCCGCCTTCAACCGTCAGTCTCACACAAACCCCACTTTTGCCATCGTTCGCTATGGCTCAGACGACGAATTTTAGTCGATGGGAAAATCTCAATTCTTCCATCTGCTCACTGTGGATCTACAGCTCTAATACCTCAGCTCAGCTCCGAACTTTCATTTCATGGAATAGTTCCTCAGCCGGCGTCTTAACTTGCACTCCAGATATCCTGAGGCTCAATGGCAACCTAAGCGATGATCCATCGTCCCCGCGCATCCATCTAATTTTACAGCCCCTTGATCCTCGTTGATTGAGTAATCGTTCGGGATACATTACTATAAGTTTTACCCCTATGGTCGGGGACACCCTGACACTGTGCTCCTTTACAAGGCGGATATGCGAAACATCGCCCTCTCTCCCCCACCTCCATCTCTTCTCGCACCATGACTTTCCACGCACCTCCCGACTCACTCCCCGTCCCTCACGCGCCCGACGACGTCTCGATCCCGCAGTTCTTCCTCGACGCCGCGCACCCCAGCCGGCCGGCCAGACCCGCAAGCGCGCCGTGGCTGATTGAGGACCACTCGGGCAGGGAGATATATCTCGAGGAGGTCCGTGTGCTGCGTCTCCCGGTCTGTGCATGCTGATTCCAGGGTTGTTTATCCAGCTGAAGCAACGAACCTCCGATCTCGCGAATGCGATGAGCTCGAAGTGGTGCGTCAGCGAAGGGGATGTCGTGTGCATATTCAGCCCGAACCATGTCGGTGAGCTGGCCTTGGTCCAACAACTGTTTCCGCGCAGCTGATGGGAGCAGATTATCCGGTCTGCGTCTGGGCATCCCACAGACTTGGTGCCATCGTCACGTATGTCGCATTTTTCATGCTGCCCTCGTCTGTTTTCTCAGCCGTCTCAATCCCAGGCCAGCCAATCCGGGCTACACGGCGCCGGAGCTGGCGTTCCAGCTCGAGACCACCAAGGCCACGCTCCTGCTCGCGTTCTCCGCCTTCCTCCCGACCGCCCTGGCCGCCGCAGACAAAGCCGGGCTTTCTCAAGACAGGATCGTCGTGATCGAACCGACCGCCGCCTCGTACGACGGGAGCCACGAGACGGTGTCCGGGCTTATCCGGGCCGGGGGCAGCCAGCCGCAGGCCTACGTGGAGCGCAAGCTGGATGCGGGCGAGGCACGGACGAAGGTCGCGTTCTATTGTTTCTCGAGTGGGACGACAGGTGCGTGTTCTGTGTTTGAAGCCGACTGTTGATGCGATCCACACCAGGCAAACCGAAAGCGGTTGTGATCCCTCACTACGCGGTGGTGGCGAATGTCATGCAGATGGTCGCGCACTTCCGCATTGATGATGAAGGCATGCAGCACAAGCACATGAATCCGGGCGATGTCGCACTCGGAGCGCTTCCCTTTTTTCGTGCGTGCTCTTTCTCGGGTTGGGATCTCCCGACTGAAACATGTGACAGACATTTATGGATTGGTCGTGGTCATGCATTATATGTTGTTTGCTGGCGTCAGTCTATCGTTCCAGCCAAATTTTTGCCTGTTCATTTTCCAACAGACCTCTCTTGTTGTCATCCCCAAATTCAACTTTACCGAATTCTTGCAAAGTGTAGTCAAATACAAGATCAGCGTGTTGTTGTGAGTCGTTCTCTGACGATTTGCGTGTCATCTCATTTTTTTTGGACAGCGTGGTTCCTCCTCAAATCGTCTTGTTGTGCAAGGTTCGCGGTCGATAAATTCTATCATGGTCAGGCGCTAGAAAGTAAATGCACAGCATCCAGCGACGAAGGACTACGATTTGAGCCATGTCAGACTCTGCTGCTCAGGCGCAGCGCCTCTGACCGGCGACCTGATGGTCACGCTGCAGGCGATTCTCCCGAACGCCACGATCGGGCAGGGCTACGGTTCGTCCACCCGGATTTCCCGCGGCGCATAACATCCTATTCACGAGTTGCAACCAGGCATGACGGAGACATGCGCGACGATCACCTTCCTGGGCGGCGCGCAGAAGATGGGCACTGTCGGGAGCGCGGGGCAGATCATCCCCGGTGTCGCGGCCCGCGTGGTGCGCCCGGATGGGGCGCTCTGCGGGGAGGGCGAGGAGGGCGAGCTGGTGGTCACGGGGCCGTCGATGGCGCTGGGATATCTGAACGACGAGAAGGCGACGAGGGAAACATTTGTTGACGGCTGGGTGAGTGATGTGTCCGTCGTTTGAGGGTTGTGCTGAGTGCCTGCGCAGGTCCGAACGGGAGACGAGGTCGTCATTCGCGACTCCGAGATTTTCATCGTTGATCGGTTGAAGGTTGATGATTACTGTTTTTTTTTTTACGAATTCCACCCTGACCTGCGACAGGAAATCCTCAAAGTGAAAGGATTCCAAGTGGCCCCTGCCGAGCTAGAAGGACATCTCCTGTGCGTCTGACCCACCCGATCCAGAATCGGAGAGCCAATCTGATACATCGCAGGCTTCACTCCGCCGTGGTCGACGCGTGCGTGGTCGGGATCCCGGACGACTACTGCGGCGAGATCCCGCTCGCGTTCGTCGTGCTGCGCGCGGAGCACACGACGCGCACGTGCGCGGACCCGCGGTACGGCGAGGCGCTCAAGGCTGCGCTGCAGCAGCACGTCGCGCGCGAGAAGATCGCGTACAAGCACCTCACCGGCGGCGTTGTGTTTATCGATGCTGTGCCGAAGAACCCCAGCGGCAAAATTGTATGTGTTTTAGTTTGCTATTGTGAGCTTTGCGGACGGCTGATGGTGTTGTTCTGGGTCCAGCTGCGGAAGGACCTGAGGAGCAGGGCGCGCCAGTTCGCGGTTGTCTCGAGTTGACGTCGGTTTGGTATCTGGGGACGCGCGGACGGTCTCTGTGCAACGCCAATGTATCGTTAATTCATTATCCTTAGACTGACTTCTGGGCTGCAATTCTATACCTTACCTGCCTTCCCGCGTGTTTATGCTCGTGCTCTAACACATAGAAACGTGACCGTGCGAGTGCCTGCGCGGCATCTCCCGGCTCGTCCTTGATTCCCGGTCCAACATACTACTGTTACTTACGCTGCAGGGGCGTGGGGCGGCAACTTCCTGCATGAGAAGGCCAGTCAGTCAGTCCTGCAAGTAAGAACATGCTTACTTGAGAGTATAGACTGTGTTTAGGGATTAGATCAGCCTGTCGGGGTCCAACACGGCACTTGAGCAGTGCAGATGACCGGTAGTGTTTTTGGGCTCCAGCGTTGCTTTTGGCTCTATGTGCATACACATGTAAGCTCCATCTACCGTAAACGGGTCTCGCTGGGGCAGGTGCTTGGGCATGAGTTTCGTACTCGGAGTGCGGGGGAAACGAACGCTTGGTTAGCCATCAGCGGCGCGGTTTGATGAGTGATGCATCGATGAGTGCTGACTTGTTCCCGTGACCAGCCTGATGGTTGGAGTTCGAGTCCCGTTCGAGGGTGCGGCGCACAAATGAAGATGAACGCTGTCCCTGCGGAAACCACAGAGAAATTCCTCTCCCACCACGCTGCCGGGCTCAAGTTGACATTTCTCTGCAAGCCCCTCCCATGCCATTTCGACCCGGATGGTTCTCGGGGCTAGAAGGCGCCCTCAGAAGGCACCCCCAACTCAGCGGCTGGGTGCTAGCACGACAGGGACTCTCGTTCCTCCCGCAGTTCTGATACCACAAGCCCCCGTGCTCAGTGGACAAGACGGGGCGCAACGAGCTTAGCGTTTGCGGGTGCTTCGTGCTCCACGTGAGCAAAGCTCGTGCTGTAGGCGGCGTATGTTCTTCGACGTCGACTGTCCGTGTCCGTGTCCTTGGTCCCCGCGATGGGCCGTGGCGCTTCTAGCATCGGTGCCTGCGATCCCCCGCATTCATTCAGTAGGGATGTGATGTGATTTGTTCCGTGTGTCGTGTGCGTTGCGCGGGGGGCTTCCCAGGTTCGCCTTTGCTCCCGCGCGCCTCCACATGCCCCACCTACCCATCCCATTCCATGACATCCTGTCCCTGCGCCCGAATCCCGGGACCCACAGTATCTGCGCCCAGAACAGTACATACTGCAATCACGCGCGTTCGCGATAAGATTTGAGTGGGTCGCGGGGCGAGAAGCGTGCGCAGACTGACGGCGACACCAGAAGCCATGTACGCCTCCCCGGCCGCGCGACGGGGATCAGCGCGGGTCTAGGCCGGCGCTCTGATCCAGCGCCGTCGGCGGGTATCCTATCGTGCTGCTAATACGTGTGCATGTCCAACCCCAGACTAGGGGCGAGTGGCGCTCATCAGTAGCGCCAGCAGGAGGAGGAGGATGGGAGAGTCTAAGCTTCGCGCGCCGAGCCCAGCCCAGCCAGGCCCAAGTCAACTCTACTCGACGTGCGCGCGACATCGCCGGGCGTAGCGCGGCGGCGAGCAAGTCGTAAGCATGTAAGTGTCAAGAAGTAGGTATTAAGAAGTACCCACTATCGAGCATCGCAACGCCGGTATCCATGCATATTACATAGTCTGGGTGGCGGTGGCGGGCGGCGTGTTGGTTTGTCTGGTGGGTGGGCCAGCCAGGGTTCGAGCTTCGGGCTTCGAGCTTCGAGCGTCCAGGGCGGCGTGGCTTCACGCTTCAGAAACAGAAACAGCACAGACCCATCACCATCACGCGACCTGCTGCCCTGGCGAATCCATCCCTGAATCACGCGGGGGTAGCACATACAGTCTGTGCACCTGCAGTCAAGTAGGCTACTTACTAGGTGCTTGTCCATATCCGGCGCGCAGAGTAGCATCGGTCCCCAGAGCGCAGGGACTGTACGTCGAGGGCGATCGCAGCCCCAGGACGCACGCGACACGTCTCCTGTCCCGTCGAATGACCTGCGAAGCATGGAGTCTTTGGGGAGTGCGAGTCTCCACGATGAGCATGGAGATGATCCCATCAGCGCGCCCAAGTACATCCTCCGCGCAGATCAAAGTGTGCGCGAGTGGAGCACGTACTAGTTCAGTATTGATTGACCGCAACTTATCGGTCGCGTGAGGATCCAGGAAGCCGGGGGGCGTGACTTGGGGCAGCCTTGAGCGCCGGATTCGCACACCATCACCCGGGTGCAGACGCGCTGACAGAAAATGAAATAACATGTGATTTCTGCGCGACACATCCATCAAGTTCGCATCTGGGTACTGGGTCATTATGTCCTGGATATCATCGAACGGCTCCATGGGAGGAGCCATTGCCGGTGCACAGGACCCCCGTCGGATGTTTTGGCGGCGTGCTCTGAGCCAGATCGCCCTGGAATGTCCGCGACTGTGCTGTATCACCGTCGGGCAGACTCCGGATCCCCCACGGCCCGGGCACCAGCCCCGGATCAGCGCGCGAGCGTGAGCAGCCACGTTCCGCCGAACCTTGCCCTGCGCCGTAAAAACGTCCGCCGGCAGCAATCTGCCCCATAAAGGGAGCCTGGCTGTCTGAGGTACTTACTTAGTATCTGCGGCGCACAGGGTGAGGATCCCTGTGACGCTGACTGACATGCACGGCCGGATGCTGATGCGAATGCTAATTCCACCCCCACGCGCCGATCTGCGCTGCATACTGTGACATGAGCAAGGTTGTGTTGCATGCAGGTCTTGCTTGCATAGAAGAACATCGCCCGCCGGCCGACAGGTACCGGGAGGCAAGCCCTACCCCCAGATCCTTCGCTGGCGTTGGCGTTGGCACTGACAGCGGCGCTCGTCTAACATCGGCACGCTTTTGGCCTGCCCTCGGAGATCCCTGCGCCTGCTCACACATCATTCACCCAGGCGCGCTAGTCCATGTCGGGACGGGAGGGCTGTATGTTCGTGCAGCGGGAGGTCCGCGGGGGATCCCCGGATATGTCTCTCCTGCATGTGCGCCGCAGCCACAAACCCGTCGGTGGGTGGTGGTGGCCTAGATCCACGGAGAAACGGAGGGTCTCCTTAGCACCTTGGAACCCCCCCACGAGGGGCGCGCGGATTCGGTTGCGGAAGGCGCCTCTCTGAGATCTTCAGAATAATCGTATTTCGAAGCCTGCTGGGCAGAGATGCAGCTTCGCACACGCCCTTGGCGCGAATGGATTCCTTCGCGCAGCCTCTGCGGTGCGCATCCGCGGCGTGATCAAGCCGGCGTTACGAGATATGATATGCATGGACGAGAGTGTTAGCCGGGAGACATGCGAGATAGGGATCAGGCGACGCGTGCTCCGCTCGCAAAGCACGGACGGGGCAGGATGATTGAAAGCGACCGTTACGGCAGATGAGATACTCGTTGCAAGGGGCACCAGAACGAGAGCACACGCAGTCAGTCACTGCGTTGTAGTATCCATTTGCAGTTTACGGCCCATTCAGGAGATCGGGCGGAGGAGGGGAGCTTCCCACGCACCCGCAAGCGACGTCGCGCGCGCGCCTCGCGTTCTCTGTGGGCATGCCGCCCGGGCCGGGGGCATATGTGTGCATGTATGCGCGGCGAGAAGCACGCACACGGTCCGCGCGGGTCTCTCGCGCTGTCGCCCACGGCCACCGTCGCGTACGCGACGACTCGACACAGCTGGTACAGTACTTATCACAAGCGCGCTCCGCGTCCATGTCCCCAGGTGTTCCGGAGGTGCATGGCTGCCGTAAGCGCCAGGTAAGGTACGCGGCCGGGTGCAGAGATGGTCGGTCGGCTGAGCGACGTGGAGATGCGATGAGATGGACGGATGCTTGTCGGCCAGGCGGGACACCCGTCCCACCCCACCTCGGCATCTTCTCGGGGGCTGCCTGTCGGGCGACGACCTGGCGGGCGTGCGTAAATCAGAAGCGATGTTGCATTGTGGGAGAGCTGTGGCAGTGGCAGTGCCTACGGCAGTGCGGCTGATGCGCTGATCCGGTTGGACGCTCGGTGCTATACGACTCGGCAGAACGAAGCCTGACTTCGGCAGAGAGATGGAGAGCGGTAGAAATTTCGAGGACGCGACAGGAGCGACTGGAAGCAAGCTAGACCGGGCTCGACCGGGGGGAGCCCTCCTGTTTCTTTTTTTATTTGGAGAGTCTCCGCCAATCGCGGGGGTGATTCAATTGAACATGGCTTCTTCGCTGTGAACATCCGGCAGTGGCCGAGCGGTGGAGTGATGCCAGACCTTGCGTCATCCCACCGAGCGTGGCCCACAGGGGCCCATATATGGAAACAGCCATGTTGGAATTGCCATGTCATTGGGCGCGCCCATCTCCCAGCGCACGGAACAAAGTTGCGCGAGCCACGGAGCGATAGACAGATAGATCGATGGAGGGAGAGAGAACCGCGCTGCCCCGAGGTGAGGTGTTCCTTCTGCGCAGGGCCCCAGGTCCGAGGAACGACGCAGCGGCCGAGAAACTCGGGGTGGTGAGGCTCTTCTTTGCTTTACCTCTCGCGCAAGTCACCGACGGGGTTCTTTTCAGGCGTGCTATTCGTGTCGGACGCCTCATCTTGAAGCTTGAGCGATGGGAATAGGCTACTCAGCTGGTGGGCGATAGGACACCGTACAGCAGAGCACCCATGCGCATGGTGTGATTTCATTTTCGTGCCTCGGACAGACACAGGTGCAGGCAGCCACAGATGCTTGTGCTGCCCAATAGCATTTGAGGGACACCCGCGAGGGGGGGAAGGTACATACGGGACCCACAGAGAGAAGGTGTGCATGCACTTGGTCATGCGAGCGACTCGCGGAGACCGGAAGCAATCCGCGGCCGGGATCAAACACGCGCTGCAGATGATCCCTGGATAATCCAGAGGGCGGACCATGGATCGTCATCGATTGACTTGACCTGGAGGACCCTGATTTCTCATCGATGGGAGATTATCCATCCGAATCCCAATCCATCATCGACGTTCTGCGCGAACCATGGCACACGTCACCATCGAGCTGATGTTCCCGGATTCTGGGGGCGAGGCCGCATCTTCGAATTACGCGTTTGGGAATGTGCCAAACTGGCGGGCTGTTCATGGAACTCGCCGCCACAAGCGCCGGCGTAGGATGGTCGAACACGGCACTAGCACACGATGCGCTACGGGGGACTAATTTGTCGATGAGCGAGTGATGCGAGAGATGCGTACTCTATGCAGGTGCATCATCTAGGCAACGTGGAGTGCGCATCCAGCACAAAGTTCGCGGCATGCCTGCTGAGGAAGCCCAATCGGACGGAGGGGAGAACATATGTGCGTGCGCCACGAATCTTGAGCTTCAGATGCATGAGGCTCGTCGGCGTGCACCGGCTGAAGCTCAGCGAACGGCGTTCCAAGGTAACCAACCGCGCGTGAATTGCGAAGCGAAGCGGGTGGGCGAGGGCCCGACGTGATCCCATCACGCCGCGCCGGGACGAGGGTTTAGCCCGACCCAAGAAATATGCCTGTGCATGTCTTACGCGCTGTCACGCGTGGTAGTCTCATTTGTTGCTTTCCGCGGCTGTGCGATGCAGTGTGAATCCAAGCGATCTGGAATTGAGCGCAGAGAGAGCGATCCCGGACGAGTTTGTCCGTACAAACCGGTGCTGGACAGGGCGATGCGGGCAGAAACGACTCAGTCACCCACAACGGAGCAAAGTGCCGACATGTGTTTGCTTCACACGGCGGGTGCATAAGCGACGTAGAGACCATCCACCTGCACAGACGCTGGGAAGCAAAAAGCACCGAGGCTTGACATACCCGAGCGCTCCACGACGCGGATTGGAGCAGCAGCACCACCGCCATAATTGAACGAGGGAGGAGCCTGGCGCGGAGCTGCACCTCGGTCAATGGGCCGCGCTCAGGGTCTCGGAGTTGGCCGCGGGAGGGCGGAGAGGTGTCATCGAATAGCCTGAAGCCTTGCGTTCGGACGTTAGAAAAATTCTTCTGCGTGCAGGAGAAGAAAGCAACGACATGTAGGTAATAAGAGAGAGAGCCAAGAAGGATAAGTAGGTGACATGGTGCCTGGGGGCAGCGCTTCACCCGTTGCCAGTCGGACCATGCGTGGGCGAGAGATGAATTGCACATCGTCCGGTGGAGAGGTACACGCTGCGGGATATGTTTGGAATATTGGACCGTATGTAGCTCGGTAAGGTATCTCCGAGTGCGCCCCCTTCGTCCCTCCGACTCCTTTCCCCCTTGGGGCACACATCTGTGACCCTGCTGACTAACGTGACATGTCCAGTTACCTAAACGGTCGCAACCGATCTGAATCTTCCTCTCCCCAATCCGGCATGCTGTATCTGAGATACGGCAAACAGGAACCAAATACCGTACGGATGGAGGACGATATATTTATTTCCGCGCGCGAGACGAGACGAGACTTCCCGACTACTTGATCTCCCCATCCGCCTCACCGCCTGGACAAGCATGATCTCTCTCTCCTCCTCCTCATCGTCCCTGTCCGACGTGTCCTCCTCGTCCTCCGCTACGCGTCCCTCCAGTCCCGTGATTAAGCGCAACGCGCTCTCGTCCTCCACCACGTCCATGCTATCCACTTCGCCCTCCTCCAGCAGCCTCTCCTCGGACAGTTCACGCGATTCGATCTGCACTCGAGCGAGCCTATCATCATCCGCTGCGTCGTTCGAGTTGGGGTCGGCGGCTAGCATACGCCGTGGAGAGCATCTAGCCATTCTGTTGCCCAAGCGGCTGTGGAAGGTGTGTCTGCCACCGTGTCTCTACTCTCCCCGGATCACTGAGACTCATCCCCTGCCAGGTTGATTCCGAGTCCACGCACTGCGACTCACTGCCATGTCGCGTTCCTTTCACCCTCTTCGAACGCCGACACCACTGTCGCAAGTGCGGAGGCGTGTTCTGCAGCGCATGCACGTCCCAGACCACGCCCCTACTTGACACCGCTTCGCTACCGGCACCCACCATTCCCGAAGACACTGCCGTCTCGGACCTCGCGTCCCCCGAGAGCCCCGTCGTGCAGTGCCGGGTCTGCATTGACTGCTACGACCAGGTGCACGGCAGGCGCACACCCGATGAGGAGTACGAGCGGATGTTGTGCGAGCGCCCGCGGAGATCCAGCTCCCTGCTAGCCTCGCCGATTTCCCTCTTCAAAGTCCCTGCATTCGTGACCCAATCTGCTCCGTCCTCGCCGCCTCAGATCCCGGCAGCACTGCCCTCCGTGCCCAGGCGCTCCCTGTCGCGGGCAGCCTCCCCGAGACGTCGGACGCGCTTTGCGTCCCTGCCCGTTCCGGAGCGGTCGCTTTCTCCCTTGCGGACAGACTCTCTTCCCTGTACCGGCCTTTCCGCATATCCGCTCTCCCTCCCATCGGCCATCTGCAAGGCCTCAGGCGGAGGACGTTGGGCGCCGGAGCCGTTTGTGTCTGACCCCATGCGTAGGCCGCTTGTGCTGGGCAGCCGGGCTCCCTGGGAGACGGAGTGCGAGCGCGCCGAGGAGGAGGAGCGGCAGCGCAAGCGTAGCGTGGTCGTCCATGTGAAGCTCGGCGAGGCCGAGGTCCGCTATCGTGTCTGGGGCCAAGACGATGTGGACGAGGACGCGCCCGAGTCGTTTGAGCGCCCTCGTCTGGCGCTTGCCACCTTCTGAGCAGTGTCGTGTTGTTTTCCCTTGGCCCTATCCTTATTGCTGTATATTGGTCTCTGTCGTTGTGTCGTCCCTCGTTCTGACTTATGCCTCTTGCTGTACTGACCCGTCTTGTTGCATTCACTGTACCACTAGCACGCTCATATATTACCTATGCCATATGGTCCCCTCATAGTCGTGCCCTATCGCGCTACCTTCTTCCTCCCGCTGTATATACTGCCATTACTATCTAGACTATAATTCTTTGAACAATGGGTATCTGTGTGTTGGCTTTGGAACTGTTCGTGCATGAGTTCTCTTCGCGGGCCTGCGCGCACTGCATTTCGTCAAGACCTGTCTTTCATTCACCCGGCCCCTATTACCGAGATCGGTCGCATTCGGCGCAGCTGTGTTTTCGTCGCGGCCATGCTTACTCCGGCGCAGACTAAACGAACTCCCGAGCCGGGCGCAGATCGACCCCCCGGCTGGCCGAACGCCGCCGAGCCCGGCTCGCGTGCAGCCAGCGACTCCACGTGGGGGTGCGTGATGCGCTGCTGCTGACATCTGACATGAACGGATTATCCCCCCGCCACGCGCTGCCGTTTGAAATGGACTCGGCTCTAATTGATTCCATCGCGCGACTGTTCAGGCTATGTAATGGATGCAGGGTGCGCCGTGTGTCCTTGAGGCACCGTGCATGCGGTGGGTGGGTTTATGGTTGTTTTCCGGGGATGGAGGAGCCGGATTAGTTTTCGCATGACCGATGCAATTACTGAGGATCCAATGTATGGCATGGCCGACCGTTCGGGGGGTGTTCCTGACTTGAAGGCTGGCTGAAGGATCATCGTGTCCACAAACAAACGCGTGATGCGCTTGCGGATCGTCGGGCGATCTGTGTCGATTATGCAGACACCTCTCGACGAATGGCGTTTCAGGTGTACACAAGCATGTATGTATCGGCGCGGGAGAGGTTATTGGAACCTGGTTTGACGAGCTTGCTTACTCTAAGAGATGGTATCATGAGCGAAAGAGCAGATTCACAATCTGTGTCCCAAAGTATGGAGGCCGGGAATTATATGCTGATAAGCGGAGGACATATCACTGATACGCGAAAGTTTGCCGACATGGCATCAATGTCATGATGCGCTCTATGTCATGATGCGCTCTGTCTGGACCCCGAACGCTGAAGTGTATTACTAGCATTGACACGCCTACGGAGCGTATGAGCGCGCAGCTGTACGGGGAGAGACAGGGGGCTAGTCGGAGGTCGTGGGGAGGGAGCTGCGGCTCGAGCTCGCGCAGTATATTTGTGGGATTCTGATCCTAACAAGGTCAGGCTCGGGGAAATGGGCTTAACTGAAATGGGCGGGGGCAGCAGCGAGCAACAGGGGGAGTAAAGGGACAATAGAACAGGCGATGGGACGATAATGACGACGGAGGACAGGACGAGAGGACGATAGAACGACGGGGAGATCAATATGTATGTCTGTAGCACGAAATGGGGGTTTGGGGGCGATGTTGGGAAAATAATGCAGAAGCAGGCGCCGAGAAAGCGAGATAGAAAGTACTGGGAAGTCACTTTAGACTCTAGAGAGTGGGTGAAGAAGATTTCTTGTTTTTCTTGTACTGTACTACAGGTCTTTTATACTACTGTACCGTGCCAATCAAATCGTCAGGGGGTGTGATGCGTGACACAAAAGGTCAATTCGTCAATTCGTCAGGTCCCCCCATGACATGTGACATGTTGATTTTTTCGTCAGGTCATGCATTCACCTCCCTATGAGTTGCTTGCAACTTGATCTGAAGCTATCTGTGTGATAGCCCCAGACAGACTCAAAACAACACAGGGAAGGGTACACAAGTATTTTTAACACTTCAGCTGAACCCCACAAGCCTTATTTATTTCCGAACGGAAAAATGAATTCGTCACCTGAGCATGTGATGCGTGACATCAAAACAAATTTCGACTTCGTCAGGCAGCCTGTGACGCGTGACTGACGATTTGATTGGCACGGTACAGTAAGTGTGAATCAAATCCAAAGGAGATAAGTAACTTGAACCTCCTGTTGATATGGTGACCATTGAGCTCTATGTTAATTTATTTCTTTAGTCAGTGCTGAATTTTGCCGAAATGAATGAGTCCTGTGAGCACAACAAGGAGACGAACTCCGAAATAGGACCCCGCCGGAGGCATCCAGTGATGATCAGAATGATCACGTGCAACAACCTTGATGAGCTCGCTGACAAATCCATTGAGATCTTTTCGTGCACGTGATCGATTGATTTCAGGGCTAGGGCGCATCACTGCTCGTCAGCATGTATGTACTACCAATGATCATTGAAATCCTGAGAGTCCTCTTTGTCCGAGAACCATGCGTACAATGCATGAGCGTCATCCGGTAACTGGGAGTTGGGCATGGGATACACTTCGGGCTCGATATCGTTGATCATTGCGTTCAGACGTGCGTGATGTTCAGGACCTCCGAAAGGAGACGAGTCAGTGAACAGTAAGGTTCCCAAGTAATGGAACATACCGAGACCATCCCCATTGTTGACTCCACCCATATAATAAGCACCCTCTCCGACGACCCCCTCACCGCCCTGCAGTTCCTGCAAGTTTGGGAGAAGGGGAATGTTTTTATCGACCGGCTGGGTCAGCACATGCCCCCACCTTGCATCGGCACTCTGATCGATATTGTTTGTAAGGGCAACTCCTGCCAGCCCGAAGGAAGAGAGCACACAGCACACAACAACCTCACATGAGTCTGAGCACAGAGGGGGATCCTTAGAGACTATCAAATACAAGGGAGGTATACTACTCACCTGAGCACAGAGGGGGATCCTTAGAGAACGGTTCAAGGATCCATGTGCCCAGGTGTCACACTATATAGTCAGCTGTGACAAGTGACTGATGATGATGGGATATCACTGCCATGGAACAATGGCAGATGACAAGTAGATAATGACAAACCCAGATAAGATAGTGAGTGGCTCAGAGGGGCCAGTGATGGCCAGCTCCTGAGACACCAACAGTGGAAGGCCACACTGGAGGAGCCCAGCGGCCAGGCCAGTGCCCGGCCGGCCAGTGGAGACATTGGAGGCGAGGACCAATGCCCAACTGGGAAGAGGGGTGGTGCAGATGAGCGCAAGGGCATCTGGTACGAGCCTGTACGGCAGTAGACCACATCCGCGGGGAGAAGGCCGAAGTGAAGGGGGAGGAGTGCATACGGCAGTAGCACTCCCTGGTGCAAGGAATCGGGCTTGGCTAGACCGCTTGCGGGGATTCGAGGGAGATGGCCGGGGGAAGAAGGGAAAGGGCGGATGTTGGCATGGATGGAGATGAGGATCGGAGGAGGAGGAGGAGGCTGGGTGATCGACAGGTGAGCAGGCACGGGTCGGCAGAGAGGGTGCAGTGGGTCACGTGCATGGTCACGTGCCCAAGGAGCGCGGCGTCCCCTGACATTGTTGAGCTGATCCAACTCCTTGAGGCGATTCAGGAGCTGGAGATATACATCCCAACATGAGTCCCGGTCCACAATAGGGCTATTAAGCTTTGCATAGATATCCAAGATCGCGATCTCGAAGTCAGGGGGAACAAGGAGAAAGACGTCATGATCAGGTGGTGCGTACATCTGTCGGACTTTTTCAATACCGATAGGATCGACCTTGATCTGTAAGGGACTAGTAGTTAGTGGCTTGTACTTGATGAAATCGGACTCGTACCTTGAAATCGAGGATGGCGTAATCCTCTGGGAACTCAAACATGCTAGTCGGAACACTGTGAGGAAGGATCTTGTTACGATCACAGCGCTTTGCGGTATTGTTCACGCGATGCCGATACAGCTCAAGCTCGCCCTGAAGCCACGGGATGAATACCCAACGGAAGACTAAGCTTCCAGCCTTCGGAGAAGCCTCTGGGGATCGGTTCGTTCAAATCTGCTCATTCTGCGTTTCTGACGCTGTCCACTTTGCCAACCACACCCCTCGGAGCGCTTCCAAATCAAGCCGTTGCCGCGAAACGCATGTTCAAGAACAACGAGAATAGCGTCTTGATCCACTTCAACCCCATCGATGAATATGCGCACCATGTATCGGAGGCACATCTCCTATTCTGGGGCACTACCCTTCTCAGTTTCGTTTATTCTTTCGTGCGTAACTACATATCAAAGCATGTCGCGCCACCAGGCGACCTCCCTATCTTTGAAGTCCGCTTTGTCGAGGCCGGCGTTGCTCTGGTTCACAATGCGGTGGCAGATGGCAAGTCGAGCAAAATGATGACATCACTCCGACGATCATATCTCATTGAAGAATTAATTGGAACGGATTTGTTCTCTGCAACGACTCGAGTATATTGCTCACTGAATTTCAGGCAATTTTGTGAAGTACATCAATAACAATAGTGCAGTGCCCGTTCCGTCGCTTCCAGAAGATCTCAAGCTGTTGGCATCGTTCCTCTGTTTTACACAACATGTCCAATACGAACACACCGGGCGTTTGGTCTTTCTTTCTGATCTTCAAGGCCGGTTCATTCGATCTGGCTCACTGTTTCATACTAACTCTATCCAAGGCTCCGGAAATCTCTTGACGGATCCGCAGGTTATGACTTCACCGTGCGCAGTCCACTGCTGTGTCAATCTGCGTGCTCTTGATATCTGACTGGATCATCAGGACTCTCGAACGTGGTCTGTTTGGTGGTGGCAATTCAGGCAGGTTCTTCGAGAAGTTTCCTGAGCAGCATGTATGCTCCGGTTACTGCAAGTTTTTTGGACTGTCTAGTCTCATGTAAGTAGTTACGCTCTATCGCTACTCTACAGTGCATGTACTTGGCCTTTTTCATACATGTTAACGAGCGTTCGGGGTCCAGACAGAGCGCATCATGACATAGAGCGCATCATGACATTGATGCCATGTCGGCAAACTTTCGCGTATCAGTGATATGTCCTCCGCTTATCAGCATATAATTCCCGGCCTCCATACCAAAGGGTCAAGGGGAGAACGTTCTCTGTCCACCACGCGGTCCTGAGCTAATACGTTGGCGCTTCACCATGTAAGCTGTTTAGGCATGGGACAAGATGACCTCAGATGAGAAACAGGATCGTCGGTAAAACTGTCAGCAGGACATCTATCCCCGACGTGGAAAATGAAAGCCCCCACAGGTCATTTGCAGATTTAGTCCAGCGTAGAAGCCGCCACCATTGAAAACTTCCGACTGGGACAGTGAACGCATAAAATGTTGCTGGATTGTCATCCACTTCGGCGATACCGAAGAGCCTAGAAGCAAGGACTGTGGGCACGTCTTGATAGGTTTTGACGAGTGAGCAGCATCCGAGTTCTGCAAAAGAAATATCGCCGGTCACTCAAGTTGAGTTCGTCATTCTTCTCGTCGCACGAGCACCCGCGAGCCTTGGCACACTCTGGACTTCCACATCACCGAAGTTCTTGCGGATTTTCCGCTTTCTCAAGGAAACTTCCCCCAGTTCTCAGCGCGAGTCTCAAGAGACTCTGCATGTGATTAGCGGAAGCAGATTCGATGCGAATCCAGGGACTTCTTTTGCTTTCGACCTGCGCGGCTTCGTCGCTAGGGCTAGGGAAAGATGCGATTTGCTGGGCGTCGGGCAACATATTAAAAGATCATGGACGTCAGCACTCAGCTACTGAGCACCGGGGCGGGAGGGCCGGATGCTTCACACGATTGCTTTATACGACCTGAAGATGGACTGGCCTGCTTTGTTGGTCCCAGTGGTTGGTACCGTCCGGCTAGGGACTGGTCGTACGACATCACCAGCAGCCGGTGTGATAATATATGCGCACTTGTTTCTGGAACAACGGCTGAGCAGCACGGTCGTAAGCGCCCCTGTTGCGCAACGTGCACGCACTCGCAAAGCGCTGGGTGGGGTCGTCCTTGCCGGATATGGATCGTGGCATCAGACATGAGCTCGGCAGTGGCCAAGGCACGACGGCGGCGGAGCCCGCTCTTGACGACCGGCCATACGCACCACCCTCTGCCAGCAGCTTCAAATTCCGCAAGTCTCCGCCGCGAGGCTTGTCGATCGCACTAAGCGGCGATGATAGCGACATCGTGTCGATTCCAATCGCGCGCTGCACTCTGTTCGGGGGGCTTGATCAAGTACCGAGATGAATCGCAGAGTTTCACAAGGCAGGTAGGTCAAAAACGAGGCTGATATTCGAACCATGCAGCGGTCCTTCGAGCTGGCAGTCATGGTCGAATGCAAAGAAGCACCTGCCACCCAGTTGTAGCGGACATCTGAATTTGATGGAGAGCTGGCACCGCCACACCATCAGCTGCAAACATCGCGTGCCGACTTTTTGCAAGTTTCTGAATCTCTTGATGCTGCGTTTGGGACGAAGGGTGTGGGCTGGCTCCCTGCGCAAAAAGAATTCACTTCACTCTGCAAATGAACTCCTGCTAAACAAGAGTGGGGTACCGGCGCTGAGCCGAAGCGCTGCCACCACATCCACGTCGTCAGCCTCCACCAAGGGCGCACCCCCACCTCCCCGCAAGGCAGCCTCTCCCTCGTCGAAACGCACCCTCGGCCTGAAACCGCGCCCCGCCGCTGCCGACGCGGGCGAAGAGCGCACGCCCCATGCCCCGAAACAACCCCTCCACGGCCGCCTGACGAAAAAATCCCGTCCCCGGAAACTCACGCCTTGGGTTCGCCCTGCGAGACCCCGGGGGCCCACGCTGCGCTCGCGCTCACGCCGAGAGGCCCGCCAAGCGCGCCTAGGCGCGGTGTTCGCGGACCCGCGCGCGCGCGTTGCCCGCTACCGGCTGGGCTTCCACGTCCTGCACCACGCGCAACCGCTCAAGCCGCTGCGCCGGGGGCGTCTCAGCCGCGAAATACGTGCGAAGATCGAGGAGCGGGGAGACCTGCAGTCGCGGCGGAACAGGAAGCGCTATGGACGGCCGGACATTTCGCTGAAGCACCCGAAGCGTTGGAATCCGCCGCTGCCTGCGGGGGTCTTGCCGGCGTATGACGAGGCGCTGAAGGTCATCCGAGCGGATGCGTATCAGTTGAGGACCAAGGCTCAAGCGCAGCGCAAGGAGGTGGCGCGTTTGCACAAGATTTTGTGTGGAGAGCTCGAGGGTGTCGAGCCTGTCGTCGGGGAGGCACGGATCGCTTTGGAGCAAGAGCTCGAGAAGATGCGAGAAATGCTCCACATCTTGGATGTCCAAAGCGAGGTCAACCTTCCGGAGGTTCGTTGGAGTGTTGCGAATGCCATGAGTGCGTGATCTTTTTCTCTATTGAAGTGGTGCAGGCAGTTGATACAATGATGGTGCAGCCGACATGACTATCCCGTCGCACAGACATCTCCTAGAGCAGCGTTGGCGCTCGGAGGGTGATCTGGATCTTCTCATGGAGCGGGTACACCAAATGAACGTCATCCCCGATGCTCTCCCTGTCATGCACCCCACCGTCGACCTCCACCTGACTGCTCCCCTGATGCAGGAGCACTTTGACAAGCTCATGCGACGCAACCGTGGCCCGTCCGGTCTTCCCCGGCGCATGAACACTTTCAAAGATGTGATCCCGGGCAACTACCTGGTTCCGAAACAGACGCGTGAACCGCCCAAGATGTACGCCAACGTCTTCCATACGGATGTGCGGTTGTACACGATGTTAATGGTGGATCTGGACGTCCCGGACCCAGAGAATCAGACCTACACCACCTTCTTGCATTGGATGAAGCCGAATATCCCCTTGTCTGCTACCCACGCTGGTCGCATTCCGTTCCTGAACACTCACACGCAATACGTACCGCCCCATCCGCAGAAGGGCACGCCGTACCACCGTTATGTGACGCTTCTGTTGCCCCATCCGCCGATGGAGGGTTTCAAGTATGTTGTCTGTCCCCGTGCATACATTCAGGATGATTAACTATCTCGTTCAGGTATAATCGCAACACAGAGGCTCTGATGACCGAGAAGCAAGCCGCTCTCAGCCAGAGTCTGACGCTGAGTGCCGCTGAGCGTGAGCGGGCTGCGAAAACGGTCGCCGCTGTCTCCGCTGCGGTCCCGAATGTGACGCGTCGCGCTCTCGCGCACCGCCCGACGCACCCGAACGCCCGGATCTCACTCCACGATCAGCTTGCGAACTTTACGACGATCTCGCAAGAACTGGATATTCCCGTCGTGCCGATGGACGCGCGTGTTGGGTTTGATATCCGTGCGTTCGTGAAAGAGTGGGGAATGAACGCCGCGATGGGTGGCGGAATGCATATGTTCCGGGAGGTGTGGGATACTTATGTCTCGGGCATCTACAAATACACTCTGCGTGAGTTGATTTTTGTCTTGTTTTCTCGTGCACTGACAGTCGTTGCAGAGGAGGCGCAGCCCGAGTTTGGTCGGCCGCGACGCATCAATCCCAATCGGAAAGATCCTGCGGTCGAGCAGCGCCCCAAATACCGCATCGATGCATAGAAGTACTAGCCAGAATCTTATCTAATCTACGCAATTTGCCGTTCCCCGGTCTTGAGTAAGCACGGGTCTGTTTCGCGAGAACGCTTCAAGCGACTGACTCGCACGGTGACATCTGGGCATCTTTCGGCAGCGAGACTTGATATTTCGGGGGTCGCTTCTGCTCAAGGAGCCGTGGCTTATCCGGAGCCATCTCCAGATCCTGGGGATTCGGGCTTTGCGATCTCCTGTTCTTCCTTATAGGTCCATCTGGGTACCGGTGCTGCTTAGTCGCAGTGGTAATAGTGGTAGTGGTCCTCCTGCCGCCATCTCCCGGGCCCCTCAAGCCACGCTGCAACCCGCATCTCTCGCACCTGGGCTGAGAGATGGATGGCGATGGCTATCCTCGTCTCCGCGCCCGTCTTCGATGCTTGGGGCTTGTGTTAATCAGTCCTCGGGCATCGCCTTGCGCAAATGCCGATGTAGACAGCGGGAAGCCATCTCTTGTTGCAGCCCTGTTATCTCCTCTGCCTCGACGGCGATCAAGGACATGAGGCGGCGCTGGGTGAGCTTAGAACACGGTTCTAGTCTGAGTATCCCGGTGGGAGAGCCCACTGCGCCCGATCTGCACAAGCGGCCGTTCATGAATCCATCTATGATATCTACTGATGAGAACCAGAAAGCAAGCACACGTTGCCGGAATACGCCGAGGAGGGGGAGGGGCCACTAGCAGACCGGGGATGGGAGGGACATGGGGTCGATGCGCGCGCCTCGAGGCAGCGCCGCCGCATGCTCCCGGGGCCTTCGCGCGAGATCCGGAGACACGCCGTGTGTGCCAAGGATGCGTGGAATGCCTCCGACGGTGATTGCGCCCCGCTGTTGATCATGATTCGTGACAGCGACAACCCGCGCGAGATGGGAAGGGGAGGTGCACTTCCGTCCTTCCTTCCTCCGATGGCGTGGACAGCGGGCGCCTTGGGCTGCTATGTTTATTTGTCGCGGCCCATTCGTGGATGTGCGCTTCGCACGCCCGGACATCAGAAGCTGCGGCGTGACAGCTGCGCGACTTGCCGCTGATGGTGCGAGAGCCACACACCCACCACCCAGGTTCCTTTTTGGGACGTGGGAGTAGTGGTAGCGCGTTGGGCGCCGCTGCCATTGATCTCCGCGGAGACATTGAAGGCACACGCCGCTGTCTGATGCCAGCAGAGGAGAGAACGAAGTATGTCAGCACCAGCAGCAGCAGCGATATTGGGGCAACTAGCACTTACGTACGTGGTAGGCAGAGGTTCCTGGCGGGAGGCCTCGGATGCGCTAAATTGGGGCTCCAACTAATAGGCTGGAAGAACGACGCGGGGGCTTCCTCGCTGTTGGCAGGGCGATGAGTCCTGGCGAAGTACACACCGGCGATCTTCCTTTCATTTGGGGGAATGTAATTTCTGGCGCCAAAATCGCGCAACGGGGCACAAGACCTGCTGCGAGCGGGACCGATGCGGTTCCTTGCTTTCTGTGGAATGCGGGGAAGCCCTCGGATGTGTCGACGACGAGGAAGACAGAATGAACGACCAGACCAACATGTGTTTGCGGATCTCTTCGACGAACAGGCATGCCCGAGGATGTGTTCCTGGTGCATAGGATGTTACATACCAGTCCAAATAACCCATGGACTAGAAGGCCGGGCACCTGGCACTCCATTGGCGGGCGGGCTGGAAGCGGAAGGGGAAGAAGACAGAAGATATATTCTAGGAAATCCACAACCAATATCGTTCAGCGACCCCAAGAAGCATCTCATACCCCACTTCGTCAACGACGACTTCGCGGTCAGCGACACCTGGCAGCCCATCGTCGGCCGCGCGGTCCGAGTTGACTCCCTGTTGGGCGGCGGGGGCACTATTACACGCAGACGTCGCTGTCCCTCCAGCGCGACATCGGGCAAGCACCCGGGACAGCCCGTCAGCAATCCGGTCTTCTCCAGCCCCATCGAACGCGGCCCGCGCGGCCGAGTGGGTAGAGGAAGACGCGCAGGAAGAAGAAGAGGAAGAAGCACCGGCTCCTGGGGCTGGCACTGAACCTGGCTCGGATTTGGGAGCGAAGAGAACATGCAACACCGCGCACAGATACCACAGCGCGTCCCGCCGCGCGAGCGAATCTACCCGCGCGTCGTGCGACGTCCAGGTCCCTGGGTTCGCGGACAGGCCGTCAGGAAACAGCTTTTCCAGCTCGCACACGCTCTTCAGGGCGAGCGCAGCGCGGAGATCGCGGGACTCGCCGGGCGCGAGCGGTGACAGCGGCGAGAACGCGGACTGGAACAGATGCAGCAGATCGGGGCGCGGATCCGCTGCTGGAAGAGGCAGCGGTTGCTTAGCCGATGTGGATTTGCTGGAGAACAGCGATTTGAGATAGCATCGACAGAGCGGGATGAGAGATTCGATGGCCGGATGGAAGATGGATAAGATGAGAGCATCGATGAGTTCGTGGGTGTGGGATGAGGCGGGTGCGGGCCGGCCTGTCTTCCTGGGCTTGTGCCGGCACAGGACAGGAAACGCGTGCGAGACGAGGTGGTGCGTGAGAGTGCTCAGCGTCTGTAGTATCGCTGCAGATGGTAACACGGGTGATCGCAGCAGAGGGTGGAGCACAGCAGCTAGAGAAGAGATTGCACGAAGAGAGATCGAGCACACAAGTGCGCGCTGCTCCGCCGTTGGGTCGAGCGCGTTGTCGGACGCGTTCACGGCAATGATCACCCGCTCAAACGCAGAGAGTGCAGAGAAGAGTGTCGAGGAGTGGGGGAGGGCGACGATGTCAGGATGGCTTTCGAGAACAGCCTGCAGATCGACGCGTGTCGGGGGCTCGATTTTGGTATCGCTACCAGCCTTCTTTTTGGGCTTGCGTTTCGGTTGGCTCGTTGGAGCGGCGGAATGGGTGGCGTCGGCAACGGGTGGCGCCTGCGGCGGTGGCGCAACCGTTTCTTCAACCAAGTCAGTGCCGTTGCTCCAACACGTTCGTCAAGCCACACACTGATTCTCTCGACGTCCAACTCGGCCTTCACACGCGCGAGCTCCTTCTCCAGCGCGAGTGCATGATTCCGCCACGACCCGTCCGACGTGGGTGCGGCAGGCTCAGAGGGTGGGAAGATCGACTGTAGATGTAGGACATAGGCTTGAATGGGCGTGAGTCTCCGAGGACATGTGACCGAGTCTCCGAAAAACGCACAGGCACACGATTGGTCGGGGGGTTTGAATTTCAGCGCGACCAGGGCCTGGGGAGGACACTTCAGTCACGATAGGCTTTGGTATTTTCTCGTTGCATACCACGGCTATTCGCATCCTGTCCGCGTCTGAATGTAGATAATTGGGCATAGAGGAAGGGGTACCAGATTTGAACTGATCGGGCCATTGTCACCATTTGATCCGGCTTTGGAAAGGGAAACAACTGTTCCGGAAGCCCAAATGACGTTGAAATAGAGGACTTGCACTGAACTGGGGATATATCAAACACAGATAAGAATTGATTCTTGTCTGGCTGAGAAAGGCAGTGTGCTATGATTGCGTGAGACGGATCCAATTTGCTATATCTGCAATCTGTTTCTCCTTTGCTCGAATGTTGAACAATTGTGATGATCTTTAATCACAGATTAATCCTTCATGTGCCAGATTGAAGTGCTGGGGCAGTTCAAGATCATGAAACGCTAGACATGCTTCGTTTGTTCGCATTTGACATCCAGGTTATTTCGAATACATGTTCACATGTCTACATGACACAAGATGCGTCCCTGTCTGCTTTCGTCAGAGGCTGACTTTCTTGAGCCTCACTCGAGGTGCGCCGGGACGTCATCAAATTCATGGGAAGAGGCTGCTGCTGCTGTGGTATCGCTTTTTGTCGAGAGCCACGGCCTGCTGCAATTGATTAGTGTCAAGAAATATCGCGGGAGCTGAGTACATGCATCCACCTAGTATCATCCCATCTGGTCAGTATCCCGCAAATGGCCCCGGAGTTCACTCACCACCGTGCTGCTTTGACACACACGAGCCTATGATCCACGGACAGCTATCCTCACAGAAAGGGCTGCAACAGGACAATAAATCAAAGCAGATGCAGAAAATCAGAAAGCAGTCCTCGGACATGATCTCAAGACTGGAAAGAAAGACAAAGGGGAATGATAGATAAGAGAACTGGCCGAGATTTTATATGATGGGCAGGATGCTTAACCCTCGAAATCAAAGTCTGATTAAGGTCGACGACAAAGGACATGGTCTGTTTCGACTGATAGATCGATCGGGTGTGCTGGGGTCCTGGGACTCCGTGACTCGAGGACGTGTATATGCTTATTCGAAGCCTCTGATGACCGTTACCGACGTCATAAGCGTGCTCGTCGTTGATGGCGGCGCGCTCGAGCCCTTCGGCTTGCGCCGCTTTCAGGGGAAATCCCCTGCCCTTGTTTTGAAATATGCACTCAGTATATAGCTCCTGGCCTCGGAGGAGGCGCAAGCGGAGGTACGACCGGGCCAATCTGCTGTCGATGTCTCAAAGATATTTCATTTATGATCAGTTCTAACGGACCGATATGCGAAAAAACGGCTGAAATCAGAGATTTGGCAGGGCAATTGTATTGGAGACCATGTCCTCTAATTTGGTGCTTCTGATCCGCGAGGTAGCTTCAAACTCCGCTAGATAACATAAGGCACTTGTGATGGGCCTCCTCCCAGACGGAAAATGATGTAATTTTTTTAGTGCCATTCTAAGGAGTTATTGTGACAAATGGAACAAGTGTTAGTGGCCTCTGAGCTCGAGGAACAGATCACAGCACTTTTTTTTTTTTTGCTAACACGTGGTTGCTGTGCCGCCGGCATCCGAACGCCAACGCTTCCGACATCGACTGTGATCAGGGCAAACTGTTCCTTTTTTTTTTTTTTTTGGTGGTACTATACACTAGACAATATAACAATTGGTTAACCTCTAGCATACTGAGTAAGGTTTTGGGGGGAGATTCCCTCCAGATAGGGGAGCAAGAAACAGAAGATTTTGCAGTGTGAACCCACCGCCCAGGGAAATGTACAGCTACACAAAGTGGTCACAGTAGTGTGGGGATGCGAAAACTCCTCCCCCGACCTAACCTGGTGGTGGCTCAGGGGGAGGTGGCAGTATTGCCAGGTATGCGCGACCCACTAAAACCCTGGGGCAGTTCACCCAGTGCTCCGGGATATCATCAGAGGAGGTAAGGACAGGCCTCCATGTTGCTTCAAGGGTTCTCAGTGCCAGTGCACGTTTACCAAAACGTAGTTTGTTTGTCATGGCACACTCTAGTTTGAATCTAGACTCAATAAGGTGGTTCCACCTTTGTTCAATCTCTTTGGGGGTATGGGGTTGGCCATTGTTGGATATCACACGCTGGTTTCGGAGCTTCCAGATCAGGAACATTGACTCAGAGATAATGATGTGTAGCAGTCTTGTTAGCCCTGGGTCAGGTTTGTTAACTGATTTTACTTTCAGTAGGCCCACCCCAAGAATGGCCCCTAGAGAGGGCTTGAACCATGGCTTTCCCGTGGTTTCCCAGAGGTTGCCTGCTAGCTTCCAGACTTCATCTTGACCCACGCAGGTGCAGTCACAAAGTATGTGCTCCAGTGTTTCTTCAGTGCTGCATGTTTGACAAGTTGCCCGGTCTTCACAATCAGGAATATGTTTCCAGAACGCACCAATTCTGTGTGCATTGTGTATTGACTTCCAGAGGAAGTTTTTCACCTGTCGCGATAGGTTGGGGAGTCTAATTGACCGCCATATCTCAGGGGTTGTGGGAGATTTTCCAGTTAGCCTCTGAATCTCAGCTACAATTTGGTTGAGACATTGCTGGGTTGCTGGGCGGACTATTTTCTTGTGCATAGATTTGATGATAGTGTAAGCTCTTTTCTGTGTCAAGGCTGCTAGCTTTGCCCCATTTGTGATCAGGTCTGGTCTTGTTGTGGCAGTGGTTTGGTTGGGGTGAGGATGTGGGTGGCTTGCCCCAGCAGCTCTAATGCTGAGATTTTGGAGGGTGAGGGCTTCTAAGGAGTTTGCTTCAGGGGTTAAGATTTTGGTTTTCCCTTCTCGTCCTCTAAGTTCAGCTAGAAGTGGGCAGAGAATGTGGCCATCTGGGACACCATGCCATCCCATGTCTTCCCACTCTTTGAGTTTTTTATTGATTATCTGTGGCAATGACTTTTTCTCAAGATACAGGGTTATATCTGCTTTTGGTGAGGCACGTCGGATACATGCAAGACAGGCTACAATCTCAGCAGCCTGTTTAGTTGTCCCCACAGTTCTGGGAATTTCAAAGTTTTCATTTCGTTGGTCACCCTCAGCAAACCACAAGGAGTAACAAGATCCAGATCGGTCAGCATTTCGACCAGTTACAATGTATGCCTGGATTGGGGTTGTGGGCCTTGCACGTAGGGGTATAGTGATAGGGGTAGTATTATCTGTGCGAAAGATTCGAAATCCCTCTGTAAGTGATGCAGCAACGGGAGGGAGCAATATCTGCCCTTCTTCCAAGGGTCTTAGTTCAGGGGTTTGTTTGGTATTTGCAAGACGGGGGTCCCATCTTGGGTGTATCAGATTTATTCTCTGGCCTGCACACTGTGCACAGGCATCTGGATTAGTACAGTTCAGGATATTTCTGTCTGACACACATGCAGTGCATACACATCTGGCAGATGGCTGGTGGTTGGGGTTCTCAAGGCGAGCAGCTATTAGTGCTCCATCACCCACATTCAGGGCAAGGTGATTGTTTCTTAGGCATTTGCAGGCAGTTGAATTATTTATTTGACGCTGCGCTGGGTCCTCACCTAGGTGGTGGAAGAGTGGGAGTTCTTCAAGCAGTTCACTTGGAGGGGAGACTACTTCAAAACCAAGATTGTATCTCTCTGCTACTCTTACCATCTCTCGAAGGTCAGTAGGGAGTTTCAGTTTGTTTGGGCGCCAGGTCTGAAGGAACATCTGTGTGTGGGAGCCAGGATTTAGTCTGGAGCTCTTCCTGTCAGCTGCAGCAAAGCGGGAGTCTGCAAAGTAGGCCCAGTCAGGGCGACTGGTAGGGTCCAAGTTTAGGTATGATGCCAGCTTCAGAATTGTCAGTGCATCATTCCTAGCTTCAATGTCTAGAAGATTTTTTCCACCATCTAGAATAGGTTGAAGTAGAACAGCTTTTTGTACTGGTGAGGATTTGGCTCCTCCCCACATAAACTCTCTCTGGGAGCGTTGTAGGTGCTTGAGGACATGTTTGGGCATTCCATTTACCATAGTCAGATATTGAGTTATGGACCCGGCAACAATCTGGTCTATGTGTCGGCGTGCTTCTAATGTTGGATGGAGATTCTCCCACTTTTCATATTCATTGTCAATCCTTTCTAGCTTTGGAGACCATAGTGTGAAACAGTCAATGCCGTTTCCTACATATCCTCCTAATATTCGGACTGCAGTTCCATCTCTTGCAATTTTTGCTTCTGCAATTACATCATGTTCATCATGAAAGGTTTTTGTGTTGGCTACATGGGCTCGGAAGGTGGGGTTACCAACAGGTATAATTTCTGTCTTTTCAGTGTTGAACTTTGCGCTTGATGCTGCACACCACTTGTTCAGTATTGCGGTGAGGTCACTTAGCCGATCGTTGGCATTTAAATATACTGTGGTATCATCTGCAAACATTTTGATAATGATACGGCGGGAGGTCCCAGGTATCTGCATTCCTTGAAGGTTTGAGCTGCGGACCATAGAGGCTAGTGGCTCAATGGCTAGGTTAAAAAGCAGACAGGAGAGTGGGTCCCCTTGCTGAACGCCTCGTGTTACTTTGTATGGAGTACTTTTTTCACCATTTATTATGACACAAGTCTGGGCATCTGCATAAAGTGCTTTCACAGTGTCTATGAACAGGTTGGGTATCCCCTGTTTGCGCAGGGTTTGCCAAAGGTAGGTGTGATTGGTCTTATCATAGGCTTTTTCTTGGTCAAGTGCCACAATAGCACCATTATGCAGCTGTTCGCTTGAGTAGCCTACTACTTGCTGGGCCAGAAAGATCTGGTCCTGAATCTTTCTACCTTTCATGAAGCCAGCTTGGTCTGTATTAACGAGGTGAGGTGCAATCTTTGCCAATTTATTTGATAGTGTTTTTGTCAGAAGCTTGTAGTCTGTGTTAAGGACTGTTATAGGACGGTAGTTGGCAATGTCAGATTTATCCTTCTTCTTCCATATTGGGCACATCCATCCAAGAGCAAAGTCTGAGTTGGCTGTTACCCCATGTTTCTCAATGTCATTGAAGATTGATGCAAGTATTTTGATTATGTTCAGAGTAGGTTTCTGCTCTTCAAGAGGTTTTTTTGAGTTATACTCAGTTGTGTCAAGGTAGGTTTTATGGAGTTGTTGCCAGAGCTCATAGGGGATGCCATCTACTCCTGCGGCTGTGCCAACCTTTGCCTGTTTCAGGGCTTCTGCTATGTCATCTTCACTTAGAAGTTTGCTTAGTGCTTCTACCTCAGAAGAGATTTCCACTGGGTGTATGTGTTCTAGAGCAGCTAGAATGCTTTCTTGCTTACTGGTGAGGTCCTCCTCGGAGGGGTCATATTGAAGTGCTTGATGGTAGTCTCTAGCAATCTCTGCCATTTCAGATGAGCGTTTTGATCCTATTGGCTGGTCTGTATCTGTTCGTTGAAGGAAGGTTATAGTATCGCGAGGCTTACTATCTTTGCTCATTGACACAGTGAATTTGGTGATGTGATCTAGTTCTGTAAAGCATTTCACTTGAGTGTTCACTCGCTGTTTATCCCTCTGCTGTTCTGTAATCTCATCTATCTCATGCTGCAGTGCATAGATGTGTTCTGCCAGCTCTTCCTCTGTGAGGGTTAGGTTGCCATTGGGGATATTATCTGCATTATTTACAGATTGAGGGGGCTCCTGGTCTTCATCTATCAGGTTCTCATGTGGTGTGGTCCCTACCTGGTTTCCTGGGGGGGTACCTTGGGCAGGAACTTTTTTGGTCTGGAGCATTGTTCTCTTCCTTGCAGACAGGTTCTTTTTCTTCTCCCGAGAGGCTCCAATGACTATCTTTGCCCGTTTTCTTGCATACTGAAGGATTTCTTGTTTGAAGCTGTGATAATGGGTTTGGATATTTCCTATCTGATTTTCAGGTTCTTTGCTTAGTTCGATCATTTCATCTAGTTTGCTCCCGGCCTCATGCACAAAGGACATGAAGTTAGTGTCCTGGAGAATAAAGAGTGGAATTGAGTAGTTGCCACGTCCTACATGTGGGGAGAGTGGTGCTGTGATGGTGACAGTAACCAGTCTGTGGTCAGTCAGCTTCCCAGCAGCATCACTAATTTCCCAGTGTTTGCACTGCTGGAATTGTCTATTTGAGACATATATACGGTCTATCCTTGAGTGTGTTTTCCTACCGCTTATGTAGGTGTAATCTATTGTGTTGGGGTTGACTTTCCTCCAGCCATCCATAAGGCCGAGGAGCCTCTTGAAGCGTAGCATTGCACCAACTGTTTTTGGTCTGTCTGGATGGTGTGGGAGTCTATCCAGGGGCTCTTCTACCATGTTCATGTCCCCTCCAACAAGGTCAGGTACTGGTAGGTCTTGTCTGAGCCACATGTCTGAGAGCTCTTCCCAGAATTCCTCATTCTCTTTCATTGATTCTGCAGGGGCATATGTGCCTAGTATAGTGCAGGTTTGAGCTCCGTGCCAGTGTAGTTGGGCCAGAAGTGCTCGGCCGGGTATCAGGTAGTAAATGGTCACATCTTTTATATTTGTTAGCTCTCTATTTAGCACTAGTGCAATTCCCCTTGTGTTTGGATCTTCTGGGTTGGGGGAGTTGAATACCTGTAGTCGGCGTCCTATATGGCTGGTTTGGATTTCGTTTGTCTGCTCTGGGGAGAGGTGTGTTTCGCATACCACCATGGCACCAATTTTCTCTTCAAGGAACAGTCTGTTCAATGCATGCCATTTGTGCTCAGGGTGGGTTATTGAGGGTTTTCTCCGCCCGTTTATGTTGAGGGAGCCAATCTTGAGTTCAGCTCTTGTATTTCTTGATATTTGTTCATTGCCAACTTGTTGTCTGTTACGCTTAGCGTTCAGGAAGGAGGGTGCATGGTCCTCATTACCTGGTATTGTGTCATTTGCTTGGATCCGGCAGTTCCGGTTCCTTGCGTTGGGTGCTAGTGTTGCACTCTGGCGTCTCTGCCTTGGTGGCTCAGTCCCAAGTCTGCCACAAGCCCCATCCTGCTGACGGACTCGGGGTCCTGAGTCTCCGCTACTGCAGGTGTTTGCACCTGTGGGTGCATACTCTGCAGTGCTTCCACCTCCAGAATCTCCATATCCATCATTGGGATCGCAGCCGGTGGTTGGTGCTGCTCTCCCTCTGGAATTGGAGAGGTTTGCATCCGTTATACCGTTATTTTCACCATTTAGTAAGTTGCTGGATCTATTTGCAGTCGGTAGTCGTCAGCCTGGGTTTCGACCAAATTCCCAAGCCACGGGCATGCTGTCCGGCTGCCACGGGGAACCTACTTGTTGTTACTCTTAGTACCACACTGGTAGTGTCACTAGGCGTAGCAAGAAGTTTGAGCTTCTCAGCACGGGTGGTCCCGACTTGGTGTGTCACCGTTGTAAGAAATCCTCTTGTAGCTTTCCCGTCCTCTGGTAGACAGAGTTGGTATATTTGGGCTTAGGAGAGCGACGGGCCCGGCGCAGTTCTAGTAGTACAGCAGGTTCCTGCTGGGTCTACACCTGTTGCTCATACCAGTGAGTCAATCAGTTCGCGCCTTGCCCGAACATAATATTAATTTATGCAGGCATGTCTCAAGTTCCTCGGGGATAGTGCAGGAAAGACATAACAAGATTGTTGGGGTAGAGTAGACTTGTAGTACCTGTCTATAGTGGACGTGTTGAACGTTCACCAGTACTTGTAGCATGTTACAGAGTTAGACTAGTAGTGGTCATAGCCATCATGGCGGCGCTTCCCCTTGCCCTTCCGGTCCTGGCTCTTGCCCTTCTTCCCATCCTGCTCCTTCTTCTTCTTCTCGTTAACTGGTGCAGAGGCTCGAGCTTGTTTGGAGAAGTGGCGAGAGACCTTTGTCAGGTCGCGAATGGTGTCGGAGGTGGGGCCCGGCCATTGTGAGGTGTTCGGGAGCCAGCAGAGTCCAGTAGGATGGTCAATAGCAGTGCAGATTTGGCAGTAGAAAGGGAATGGGTTGGGGCGGTGCTCACCGCCCGTGGTGTACAGGTAGGCCTGGCCATCCCAGATGCTCCCAAAGACCAGCCGCCGGACGTCTTTTGCAATCTTCCGCCAGCTTTCGATGTAGCAGGTTGGGGGGTTTGCGAAGAGGTTCCAGAGCAGGATATCTTGGTTGCCCGCGGTCCGGATCTCCATTGGCTGCACATGGAGGGTAGCGGTGAAGCGCTCCAGCACCTCAGAGTTTGTGTCGAGCTCGCTAAAGGCGTCGCGGTTGTCAAGGATTAGCTGGACAGTGGACCTGGGGGTACTGTTAGATTCGCCAGTTGATTTGATAGGGAGCATACGGGGATTTGAGAATGGTGTCGCCAATGATCCTCCGAATAGTCTCAGCTCCTTCCTGCGTGCACTCAACATTGAACCCAGTGAAGGCTCCAATGTAGCCGGAGATGGGCGGCGCATACGCGTGGATCAGGAGGGTGATGGCAGGGGAGGAGATGATTCGCCCCTCCACCAGGTGCTCGCCGACTTCAACCGGAAGTCCCGCTACAAGCCAGCAGGTGGGGTCAGGGCCACTCTGGGCAACCGAGGGTTCCGAGATCATGATATGGTGGCCGCGGGCGTTTGTGGCCTCTGCAATGAGGTTACGGATGAGGGTGGTGGTGCGTCTGCGATCGCCGTTGCCACCCGAGACGGTGACAATGAACTTGTGTTGCTGGACGGCATCCCATTGGTCGAGGCGTTTTGGGTCCATATGGGCATACACCGTGAGGGAGTCGCTTCCTCCACAGACTCCAGCATCTGGGAATCGAATGAAGTTCCCACGTGGAGGGCGGCCATCGACTGTTCCGAAGAAGGGTGGAGGCGAGTTGTTGTGGGGGACCGGGGAAGGGGATGGTGTGCGCGCAGCAGCAGTGGCCCTGGGGCGTGGGGGAGAGTGGGCCCGGGGGCGGGAGCTTCCAGCCGTGTTTGCACGCTGACGCTTTGTCGGGGACGGGGGGTTTACAGCGTTCTGGCTAGTGCGGTGCGATCGGTGTGACAATCAACCCGAAAACAAAGTCGAAAAGAGAAGTGAATTCGAAGACTGGAGAATACAACCAAGTAGCTACAGTATTTATACCCAAATCCAGTCTGAGTCATATCTACAACTAATGAGTCATAGGGCTATGTACCGCATGGAACGCTGGTCATGGGTCGTAGTAGAACCTTCTGGAGCATATGTCGCGCAGCCTCGAATCGATGAAGATAATCCCTGGAACCCCTAGTCCGGGCCGTCTGATGCCGTGATCCGTGATAAGGTAAGTCGTGCCAAGATAAGATAAGATCGTTGATGATAAGATGAAAAAGTGGCCGAACTATGACATTACCCCCTCTCTAGGGTCGATGTCCTCATCGACTAGGCCAATGGGTAAGAAGACGTTCTCGTAAGGGTCGAAGAGCTGTCGTTGGGGATATGGAAGGCGCTCGTCCCTGGGCTTGTAGCGATGAATGAGATAGTCCCAGTGTCCAGCTTCGAGCGTTGGCAGGAGGCGAATGCGTGTGTCTGGATTTGATTGTTTCCTCTGCCAGTCTCTCAGGACGTCCTTCGCGTGGGTAAGGTGACGTGATGGTTCCCAGGTGTTCTCGCTGTGCGGCCATCCCTTCCATTTGACCAAGTACTGTTTTCCTCGGCCGACTTTTCGCTCTTTCACGATTTCTTCGACTTCCCACTCCTCTGCTCCTCCGATCATCTTGGCCACGGGTCTCTTCTCTCGGCGATGGGGGGGTGGTTCGTGATAGGGTGTCAACAGTGACTCGTTGAACACCGGGTGTCTTCGGTCCGTGTCCGGCAAATTCAGCTTCCATGCAGCCGCTCCAACCTTCTCCAGTATCTCGTATGGCCCCAATCTCTTGTCGCTCATCTTCTTCGAAGGCCTGTCCGTCTCGATATTGTCCCCCTCTATGTACACCTTCATCCCCACCTTCAACTCCGGAACTTCTTTTCTTTGTTTATCGTAGTATTTTTTCATTTTTTCTTTTGCTTTTTCCAATGCTGCTTTTGCTTCGTCTTGTATTTCTTTGATTCTTTTTACAAATTCCTCCGCCGACTCGTTCCTTGATTCCATCCGCTGCTCCACTCCCTTCCATGGGTGATATCCGTGATTAGCATAGAACGGCGACATTTTGGTAGACGTGTTCATTTTGTCGTTGTATGCGAACTCCGCCATTCCCAGCCACTCCGACCAGTCCGTCTGATGGTAGTTGACGTAAATGCGGAGATAGTGTTCGATCTCCTGATTCATACGCTCCGTCTGCCCATCCGTGATGGGGTGATATGCGGTCCCCGGATTCATTTCCACGCCCAACATCCGATTCGTTTCCTTCATAAAGCCCTTGATGTATCGAGAGTCCCTGTCGGTGATGATTTTGCGGGGGACCCCGTGATAGCGGAAGATTCGGTCCCTGGTTAATCGTGCTACTCCTTCGCTGCTGATGTCAGTACTAATTGGTTCGACATGGATCATTTTGGTGAAGGTGTCACACCACACATGAATTGCGTCATACCCGTTACTGACCGGCAGGGGTCCGATCTGATCCATGGAGATGATTTCCCACGGCGCGTTTGGAACTGCATGCGGGTGCAAACTCCCTGTCCTGGCTCTTCTGGTCTTGGTCCGCTGGCACGCCTCGCACGTCTGGATGTATTTCCGAATTTGGTTTCCCATCCTTGGCCACCAGTAGTTCCTTTCCACCATCTCCTGCGTTCGGTTGATCCCAGCGTGTCCGACCAAAGGTGTGTTGTGGTGTAGTCCGATTATCTTGTCTCGTAGCTCCTCATTCCTCGGCACGTAGAGCTTCCCATGGTACGTGATGAGCCCATCTTCCTTTTTCCATCCGACGAGTGACTTCTCCAAGGCCGCTTTGACGCTTCCATCAATTGATCGAGTAGCCTTGATCTCATCGATTAGCTGCTGATCTTGCCCCTCGAATGTGACTTCTTGTGACCGGAAGAATTCGGGTTTCAGCAGAGTGATATCCTTGTTGTCGTTCTTGCCCTGATCGTGATCCGCTTGTCGAGATAAGAGATCCGCCTTGCGGTTGAGTGCGCCGGGCCGGTGTCGTAAGGTGAAATCGAATTCTGCTAATTCTGTGATCCATCGTGCTTGTCGTCGGTTGAGCTTTTGTGGCTTCCGGAAGTATTCGAGGTTCTGATGATCAGTGAAGATCTCAAACGTTTCTGTGGCCCCCAAGAGTAGCTGCCTCCATTCGTCGAGCGATAACATGATTGCCAGCATTTCCTTGTCGTAGATCTCGTAATTTCGCTCGGTTTCGGTCAGTGCGTGCGAAATAAATGCGATTGGGCGCCAAATGCCGTCTTGGTTTTGGCTCAAAACTGATCCTGTTGCCCCTTCCGAAGCATCGGCTTCCAGACGATATTGGCCAGTGTCATTTGGCAGTGCTAGGACCGCATCCTCCGCAATTCTCTTCTTCAATCCATCAAATGCTGCATGCTCATCTGCACCCCATGACCATCCTGCCTTCCCTGTCAGCCGTGTCAATGGCTTGGCAACCTCCGCGTATCCCCGGACAAAGCGCCGATAGAAGTTTGTGAATCCGAGGAAAGCTTGGACCTGTTTGACGCTCTTTGGTTCGGGCCATTCCATCACGCCCTTGATCTTGATTGGGTCCATCCGCATCGAATTGTGTCCAATGATTACACCCAAATATTCGATTTCCGTGCGTTCGAACTCGCACTTTTCGGGCTTCAGGTATAGCTTGTGTTTCTGGAGCAATTCGAGCACTCGTTTCGTGATCCGCCGATGTTCGTCCAAGTTCTCTGTAAAGATCAGTATATCGTCCAGATAGACTACCACGTGACCCTCGTTGATCAGTTCTCGGAGTATGTCGTTCATCATGTTTTGGAAGGTGGCCGGGGAGTTCGTGAGACCAAAGAACATGACCAAGGGCTCGTACAGTCCGCGGTTCGTGCGGAACGCAGCCTTCCACTCGTCGCCCTCTTTGATCCGTACGTTGTTGTATCCCCACCGGATGTCTAGCTTGGTGAAGAACTTGGCGCCGCACAGGTTGTGGACCAGTTCGGAAATCAGCGGTAGCGGGTACCGATTTCGGATCGTCATCTCATTCAGCTTCCGGTAATCTTGAACAGGCCGTAGCGAGCCATCCTTCTTCTTGACAAAGAAGAATGCCGATGCCATGGGTGATTTTGATGGCCTGATTCGTCCGCTGGCTAGGTTCTCTTGTAAGAACTCGTCGAGTTTGACCTGCTCGTTTCTCGATAAGGGGTACACCTTGCAGTCCACTGCTTTGGAGCCTGGTTTGAGCTCGATCGCATGATCCCATGCCCGTCGGTCCGGTAGCGAGTCGAATGATTCCTTGGCGAATACTTTGACGAATTCTCGGTATTGATCTGGAATCTTTCCCTCGGTCATTCTCTCCTTCTCCTTTTCCGCTTCTTCTGCGAATTTCTGCGCCGGCGTTTCCTTCAGCCGTAGGTCTACCTCCTTTCCAAAGTCGATCAACAAGATCGATTCTCCCTCTTCCAGATTCGGTGCACCCGCGTCCAGGTCAATTGCATCCATGTCGATCATTGCTTGGTGCTCCTCGTGACCCCTCATTTGACATTGCTCTGGGCATCGGCTGAATCTCATTGTCTGCTCCTGCCAATCCACCTCGGGGTTGTGTTCCGTCAGCCAATCCAGGCCGATGAAGATCCGGGCTTTTCCCAGACACGTCAGAAGGAACGTGCGTGTCTCCACATGAGGACCGATTCTCATTCTCAAGTCGACGTAGTGCGTGATCCGACCGCTGATGTTCTCGGTGTTGTCGGCGTTACGAGCCACAATGGGTTGCGGAAGCTCTTGGATATCCAGCTTTTCTGCCCGTGCGTAGTCGGTGTCGATGCAGCAGGTACTGCAGCCACTATCGAGCAGCGCCTTGACTCCACGCGTTTTCCCTGAGTCCAGGCCCGTGATCTGGACATATACGTCCATCGAATGCCTCTTTCTTTCGGCTTGGTAACTGCGCAATTCCTGCGCCAATCTGCTGGGCTGGGGGCCCTTCTGTTTCTCGACCGCCAATTTCCTCTGGATGGCATCTGGCACCCTGGTGCGTTTGGGTGCTTCTGGAACCTCGATTTTGGCAGATTCCTTGGGCGCTTCCTCCTTTTCCAAGGATCGAGCCTTCGGAGCGATGCTCCCCTTTTCGGTCTTTGTTGACGTGGTTCCTTCTCCACGAGCCATAAATACGTAAGAGTCCAAAAATAATTTATCCGCAGCTGCTATCTTCCGATCCTGTTTATCTTGTAAATATTTTCTATTTAGAGCTATCTTTTCCTGGCGTTCTTTTTCCATCTCGGCAATAAGAAAATCGTGAATATTTGTACGTAGTGAGTCTGAGATCGTGTATGTAGATGAAATATTGTCCGTATCTTTAATCGAAACAAGTACAGAAAATCGTCCATAGTCCGGACGCTCCACCTCCTTGGCTAGAGGAGTGGAGCGCTTCAAAAACCCTTTTCGCGCAGCTTCTCGGCAATCTCCTTCAGGAACTCGTTGTCCTTGTCCCCGTTCTCGATTTCTTCCAGCATTGTGGCCCGATTGAAGAACGTGCGCTTCTTCTTGGGCTCCGGGCAGTTCCGCGCAATGTGTCCGGGCTGCTGACAGTTGTAGCAGATGATATTGCGGCCGCGGGTATGGGTACGATCGATTTCCATCGGAATCGGTTCGTTGGCAGCGGGTCGGGCCGGAGCGGGTGTGGGCGCCACTGGTGCCGTTTGGGGGCGGAACTGGGGAGGTGGTCGTTGTGTGGGGTGCCCATACGACGCTTTGCGCAGCTGGTCACGCAGAGCGTTGGCTTCGATGTTGATGCACCAGGCTTTGAACGCTCCATAGGCCTTGGGCAGAGGGACACCGGTGTTTTAGAGACGGCTGGCGATCTCGCTGCTGAGTCCGCGCTCCAGGAACTCGATGAGGATATTATCCTGGTCCCCCTTCTTGTATTCGCCTTTGTCGTCGGTGGTGTCAACCACATTGTAGCCTGCATCCGCGGCCAGCATCTCAAAGTCGGAGATGTAGTCCGCGAAGGATCGTTTGTTTTGACGCAGGGCCATAAGCCGAGCAGCGGCGACTTGTTCCGCGTTGGAGTCCCCGAACGCCCTCTGAAACTCCTCCAGGAAGTTCTTTGATGTGACTCCTGCCTTCAGTCCCTGGAAGCCATCGAAGTTGTGCTGCTTCCAGTTCATCGCCCATCTCGAGGCAGCGCAGCTCGTGCCGTTCTCGTTACGGAGGTAGGAGAGGACAAAGAGGATTTTGGTCTCATCTTGTGAGAACTCCGATCGATAGGCACCGATGTAAGTGGTGCACGCGTCCACAAAGCCCAGGTATTTGGATTTGTCGCCATCGAAGTAGGGGGGGTTGGCGGCGAGGGTGATGCGGTGATGCCCTGACATGGTAGGGGCAGGCGTGTGAGGTGGAGGTGAGGGTGGTTGTTTGGAGGGCAGTTCGTCGAGGTCGGGGATCTCGTCTTCAGGCGGTGGGAGGGCGAGGTAGGGGTCGGAGGGCCCGGGTTGGTTTTGATGCGCCAGATCGGGCGACGATGGTACGATGGGGGGAGGGGATGGACTCCCAGACGACGATGGGAATCGGTACGAAATGGTGGAATCGTGTGCTGTACAAGCACTCGAGGGAGGGTTCTTTTGCTAGCAAAAAGATCCCGGGCCTAGCTCTTCACGTGCCCGATGATCCCGAGGTGCGTTTTCCCGAAGGTCTCCGCAGCACTCCTTGTAGCTACCGTAAGGCTTGGGTCGGGCTCAACGTTACCCGTGGCCTGGTGCTGTTTGCTTGATATGAACCCTTCACTGCGATAGTGGAGGACGACTAGATGATTCGGTAAAAGGGTGAGTGGGGTGATAAGGGTTAAGAGGATATAGCGGGCGTAGCGGTGCAAGATGCAGGGTAAGAGGTATGAGGTAGGAGGGTATGAGGGGAGTCTTCGAATTATGTGACAATCAACCCGAAAACAAAGTCGAAAAGAGAAGTGAATTCGAAGACTGGAGAATACAACCAAGTAGCTACAGTATTTATACCCAAATCCAGTCTGAGTCATATCTACAACTAATGAGTCATAGGGCTATGTACCGCATGGAACGCTGGTCATGGGTCGTAGTAGAACCTTCTGGAGCATATGTCGCGCAGCCTCGAATCGATGAAGATAATCCCTGGAACCCCTAGTCCGGGCCGTCTGATGCCGTGATCCGTGATAAGGTAAGTCGTGCCAAGATAAGATAAGATCGTTGATGATAAGATGAAAAAGTGGCCGAACTATGACAATCGGGAGGGGGATCCATTCCTCTGCTGGCCAAGGGAGCAGGATTTCGCCTTTGCCATGTTGGCCTGGAAGGCACGATCGTAATCGCTTTCGTCTTCTTCCGAGGAGCTGCTTTCATCGGAGGCCTCCAGCGCAGGGGGAGGAGGAGGAGGAGGAGGGGGAGTGGGGGCTTGACAGCGCGGTTAGTATGGAGTGGCGCGTTGGATTGTAGGGACGTACTTCTGGGCTTCGCCTTAGCCTTCCCCTTATTTTTCCTCGCATGCTGGACCGGGGTCCAGCTTCCATTGTTGTCCTTCATTGGGTCAACACCTGGTGGTGGCAGTGGCGGAAAACTCTCTTCGCGACCAGGGGCACAGGTGCCAGCATCTTTAGGTTGGTCCAGGAGGTGGGAGCGGATAGTATCGGCCTGGTCATGGTCAGCTCATGTTTCGAGGTAAGTGTAGGGACTTGCCTCGTTGTCCGATGTGTTGGGATTCACCTCGGGAGTTCCAGCAGGGGGCGTGCAGCTCGGGGGGCAGGCGGCCAAGAGTCCCATGCTGGGTGGCGCATTTGCCGTGGGAAGAGTGGGGGTCTCAGCGGAGTTTGGGTCCTTGGCCGTGGCGGCGGGTGCGTCGGGGGTCGCGGGGGCCTGTACAGTGGTCGCGGGGGCCTGCACAGTGGTCGTGGTGTTCTGAGCCGTTACACCTTTCGTTGGGGCATGCATCGAGTCTTTGACTGATTGCCGCGAACGAGCTCGAGTCTCAGGGCCGACAGTGGAGGTGGTGGACGTGGAGCGATAAATTGCCATGAAAGGTAGGGTTCCGTGGACCTTAGCTGTTGGGGCAGGGTTTTAAAAAGGGGGGGCAGGACGTACTTCTCAAGGAGGTACGCTCCGTCATAGCTTATCACAAAGCCATTCCGGTCCCTTTCTCCACTACATCGATTGTCCGAGCAGATACCTTTGTCCTTTGCACGAGGCAGAGATAGCGGGAGGGGAACAAAGCAGGTTCGAGGCCACATGTTGTTTGGCGGTGTTGTTTCTGGGCCGGAGTTCTCACGTTGCGTCATTTGGTGGCAAGGCCTTGACTGCGAGGCGATAGGCCCTCAAGGTCGTGGTAGACTTGTGGTCAAGTCGCTCTACGTTCCGGTCTGCGTTGTCAAGCTAGCTAGGGCTTACGCCTTGTATTATGTGCCGGAGGGACCTCAGGGGGTAGTGGCTCGGAGCCGGAAGCATGGGGTGTTGTGTCTGCTCCACGGGTGGCTATGACATGCCCAGTCGCTACTAGTATTAGCGCTGGGGGGCGTATGGTATTATCTGAGCCGTTCTATGACTGTCCAGCGCTTAGACGCGGACGGAGGCGCAGCAACGGGCTCACCCACACCCGGGGAGGGTGGCACTTCCCCATCAACATGATGGTTCGGAACAAGGGGCCCCCCCGGGGCAAACTGTTCCGATTTCCTCCCCTCTTCCACTTCTTCCTCTTTCGATTTATTCTTTTATTCTTATATTTTCAGGCACCTCCACCAGTCTCGAGCCAATATTACCAGTTAGAACGCGTCCGTGCGCATCCCGAATGAGGGAACGCGTCGTGTCCACTGGAGCACGTGAGGGTACGTCATGGTTATGCAGATCTGATGACATGATTATGACACCGTAACAATGTGACACTGAGACCCCGACTCTGCATCATGATCATCCTTTCCTAAAACAGACCATGTCCTTTGTCGTCGACCCTAGTCTGATGTTGTCTATCCCTCAGCTTGACGCGCACCGCCTGACACTGAGGCTGACAGCGACTATTGCGGTGCCGGGGAAGAATTCCCGGGCTAAGCGTGATCGCGAAAAGCACCACAGCCACGCATCACACTAGTCATCACATCAATGTCAACACGATCACGTTGCACGCCTGCCACTCTTGCCGTCAGCCCAGCCTCAGCCCTTAACCTGCAAAGTCTTTGGCCACTGCTCTCTCTTAGATATGTCTACAGTCGGCTCAGTGACCAGGCAGATAGCTGCTCTGGAAATATCGAACTCCAACTCTCGGGCACCGGCGTCATCGGGCACTCGGCCCGCACACTCGAAACAGCCCAGCCAGCAGAATGTCGCGAAAATGCTCACGAAGTTCGCTGCGCCGAATGCGCAGGGCAAGGGAAACATTTCTAATCTCCCCCCACCTCCGTCTTCACGCTCCCACGCAGCGCCTGTCGTGGACATCGGGCGTTATGATGGCGGGCTGGAGATTGAGAATGAGAAGCGTGGGACGGCGGTTTCTGGCGAGGCCGCGGCGGATTTGGCTGTGGACTCGAGTCTCTCACAGTGCGTCTGCGTTCTCTGAGCTTGTGGAAGAAGCTGAGTCTCCCGGAGCATCTACCCTACCCAGGAATGGTCGCTGCACTCGTTCGATATGGGCCGGCCGCTCGGAAAAGGTGAGCCTCGGCCACGTGCATCGTGTACACTGTCGACTGACCTCGTGCAGGCAAGTTCGGCAGGGTCTACATGGTCCGCACCAAAACCGCCCCCAATTACATCCTTGCTCTCAAGACACTCTACAAGTCGGAGCTTGTCGCAAACAAAGTCGAGAAGCAGACCCGTCGGGAAATCGAGATCCAGCAGAATCTGCGGCACCCCCACATTCTGCGACTGTTCGGCTACTTCCACGACGAAAAGCGCATCTTCTTGATGCTCGAGTTTGCGGGGAAGGGCGAGCTGTATAAACAGCTCAGCAAACACGGATCCTTCTCCGAGAGGAGGAGCTCCCGATACATCGACCAAATGGCGGATGCACTGATTTACCTGCACAGCAAGCATGTTATCCATCGGGATATCAAGCCGGAGAACCTTCTTCTTGGTATCAATGGGGAGCTCAAGATCGGCGACTTTGGGTGGTCGGTCCACGCCCCCGGGCTGAGGCGGATGACACTTTGCGGCACCTTGGACTACCTACCACCAGAGATGGTTGAGGCGAAAGAACATAATGAGAAGGTCAGCAGACCCTGGAGAGATTGAAATCGCATTCACCCTGGGTTACATAGGTGGACTACTGGGCTCTGGGCGTCTTGACCTACGAGTTCGTGATCGGTGCTCCTCCCTTCGAAGATCGAGGCAGCGTTACAAGTAACGGATCGAAGGCTTCCGCAAGGAGCTTGCTGAATTTCACCCAGATACCTACAAACGCATATCGAAAGTGGATCTCAAGTTTCCTGCGGGCATTTCCCCGGAAGCCAAAGATCTCATTGCAAAAGTATGCCTCGTTCCTGTCAGCGGTGCCGTACTTATGGCCATTAGCTTCTCAAGCATGAACCCAATCGCCGTTTACCGCTCACTGAGGTGCTCAAGCACCCCTGGATTGTCAAGTATCGCCCTAGAGATACAGAAGAGGGTCGTGCTTGAAGTTTAACATACATTCGCATCTTCATCATCCCGTTTTCATCCACACTCGCACTGGGACTCTTGTAAACTGCATCGCGTCTATACATATGTAACTTATTCTCAGCTGCACTTCGACGGAGCTGTCGTCCCGAGCCCCAAAAATTACGATACTACGCAGCCCTGAAGTCACGTGTTTCATCAACCTGCTTTCGACCATGGGGGGCAAAGCACCAGCCACGAAAATCCCCAGCGCCCCGCACACCTCTCGTCCTGCGAGCCCAAAAAAGGATGTCGCTGGGCTGCCCCAAGCCGATCCGTATTCGTACTACCGCGACGTGCACATGGACACCGCAAAGGGATTCACTGCGACCGGGTTTCCCGACGTGCGGATGGCCACCGCTAAAGCGTTCAATCCGGACATCCTGATGGACACGGCGAAGGGCGACAAGACCACCGTCAAGGGCGGCGGGCTGAAGATCTGGGAGCTGGAACTGATCGAGAATCCGGAGATCAAGCGCAAGGCGACCGTTGCCCAGCTATGTGTGTGTGCCGCACATACGCATCTCGCCGATCTGACCTCGCGTGCCAGATTTCCTTGATTACTACTTCCAGAGCCTCGGGTACCTGCACTCGCGCAAGGAGCGGCGTGCGAAGTTCGACAAAGACACCGCCGCGCGGGACCTCAAGGCGGTCGAGTATGCGAAGGAGTTCAAGTCGTACTGTGGGCGCGAGCGCGTCCTGCTGCGGCGTCGGCGGACGAAACTCAAGGTGGATCAGTTCCATATCATCGCACAGGTCGGACAGGGGGGGTACGGCGAGGTGTTCCTGGCGCGCAAGCAGGATACAGGGGAAGTGTGCGCGCTGAAAAAGATGCGCAAGCGCACTCTGTTCAAGATGGACGAAGTGCGTGGTATACCCCTTGGTTTCTTTTTTCGCGACTGACGATGCGCATAGATTCGCCACGTCCTCGTTGAGCGTGATATCCTCACCGCGACCAAGACGCCCTGGCTTGTCAGGCTTTTGTACGCGTTTCAAGACCCGGAGCATGTCTATCTCGCTATGGAATATGTCCCTGGAGGCGACTTCCGGACGCTGCTCAATAATTCGGGAGTTCTTAAGGAGGAGCACGCTCGATTCTACATCAGTGAGATGTTCGCTGCTGTCAACGAGCTGCATAAACTGGGCTACATCCATCGGGATCTGAAACCGGAGGTGTGTCTTCACGACTTCTGGGAAGAAATCTGGCCATGAAGCGCCGCGCAGAACTTCCTTGTGGATGGAACGGGACATGTGAAGCTCACTGACTTTGGGCTGGCGACTGGTGCCCTCAATCCGAAACTGATCGAGTCTCTGAAAATCAAGGTTAGATCACATACAATCTGATAATGCGTTGTGCCCTGATTGTTTACTCAGTTGGACAAAGTGAAAGACAATCAAGTTGTGCATCGGTCCACTCTCGAGCGCCGATCCATCTATCGTTCCATCCGTAATGAAGATGCTCGTTACGCAGACTCCATCGTCGGATCACCGGATTACATGGTGTGCTTCCTGTTGTGTTGTGGATCCTGCGTCTTATGCATACTTCAGGCCCCGGAGGTACTTCGTGGCAAGCCCTACAATTTTTCAGTCGACTACTGGTCCCTGGGATGCATTTTGTTCGAGTTCTTGGCTGGATTCCCTCCGTTTTCGGGCGGCACACCGGAGGAGACATGGACCAATCTCAAGAACTGGTCCACTGTGTTGCGCCGTCCCGAATACGACAAACCTGAGGATCTAGTGTTCAATCTGACGGATGTAGCTTGGGACGCTGTCACCCAGTGCGTCGTTCTCATAAACAAATGAAACTAAACTGATGTTTTTTCTTTCGCAGACTCATTGCCCACTCGAGCACCCGGTACGCGTCACTGAATCAAGTCGGCGGGCATCCGTTCTTTGCCGACACCGAGTGGGAGGACTTGCGGTCCGTCAATGCGCCCTTTGTCCCTGCACTGGATTCGGAGATTGACACGGGCTACTACGATGACTTCACGTCTCCGGAGGACATGGCGAAGTACGCTGAGGTGAAGGAGAAACAGCGGAACGTCGATAATGTGAAGGAGAAGGAGGAAGGATTTGGTCGAGGTGTCTGGGTCGGCTTCACCTTCGGAAAGAACGGGCCGGGTCGCCAGACTGGTTCGGGCGGTGGAGGCAATGATGATGGGGCTCTGGCCACCATTTTCTAGAGTGCCGGATCACGATAATTGCTTTGTTAAACATTGGGAATCATGAATGTATAATACATATACCTGTACGAGTTTGCTCTACGTCACATAATCTACAGAATCGTCCACGCTAACATCAAAGGAAAGCTGTGATACGTACTTGACTTGAAAACACATTTGGGCGATGTTTCCGAGATATATGCTGCAACTCGCATGAAGGCCTAGAGATCGTCGATTGGGGCCACTTGATTCTTCGCCTTTCATAGCCTCATCCAACCATACTTCTCTTTCGACCACGCTGTCGAACTAAAGATACGAGTCAGCATATAGTCCGAAAGGAGACGCTAAGAGACGCACCATCTTCCAATCGCCGAGCCAGTGCGGGCCACTCCTTGCCCATTCGTCGTTCGTACGCTCCTAGCACAGATGCGAACAACGGCTCCGAGTCCGGGTGCGTCGATGAGAAGGCGCGCTCCAAGACGTACATGTCCACAGCCTTGTCTTCGATCAGAGAGGAATGGTACGAAAGACCAAAGTCGATGAGGACCTGTTCGGCGGATGAGATCAGAAGACGTGTTCTCGTTGGCAATCAACAAACAAGCTGCTTTGTATTCGGCGTCTTCGGCGATGAGGGTGAACGGAGCATCATATTGGACGTAGTTAGATCTCCGTGAATCATGTCGGTCAAATGCAGGTTGGCGATTTCTTCCCCAATCAGTTGCATGAGGGTATCTGGAAGAAGTTAGACAGGATCATCGTAAAGCAGAGAACATGCCGGTGGTTATGCCATAGTCACGAAGGACATCAACCGCTGCCTCGGTTTCGTCAGTGTCGTTTTCGTCCTCCCCAGCACCGCCTGGTAGCAGGCGGCGCACACTGGATCCATCTATCCATTCGATACCGAGCACACCTTCCGGTGCGTCGACCATCCTGATTCCTGGTACGCTCACGCCCGATCTGTCATCCGCTGCTGGTGAGATCCAAGATGTGTGTTCGCGCGGAGCCGCGAGCAGTCTGACCGTAGGCACTTTGCCAGAGCCCGCGCTTCACCGGCGACACGCGCCCGCGTGAGCGAGCCGTCGAGGGTAGGATGGCGGTATCCTTTCTTGAACCGGTGCTTGAGTAGGATGGGTGGATCGGAAGGGTCTGATGTCAGACGCGCTTTGTAGACTTTCTGAGGGGATCGCGCGCGGACAATGAGACGAGCGTAGGTACAGGTACATATAAATACTTGCTGCTTCAGCTCCTTGAGAGATCAGTGTGGAGTTTGCGATTAGTGTTAATGTCGGGGAAATCATTTTGAAAGGCTCGGTGGGTGCAGAGAGATAAGATTTCGAAAGATGCGTGGCGGTGCCGGATTGCTGACTGCTCTCCTCCACGACCATCAACATGCCTGAGCAATGTCGGTACACTGAATCCATTCCATTGTATTTGGGTCTTAGCAATCTCACTCTAGCTCAATATTCGCAAGCGGCTCGAATGCCATTAATCAAATCACCCAGTCTCCGTATTCCGCGGCCGGTGAGTCTCGCGCGACCACAGCGAGCGACGTACCTGAAGCCACGGTCTCCTAGGTCACACTCCCTCCAGACATCCACCCTCTTCCCGAGTCGATTGCTCCCTACGTGAGCCGCATCTCAATGGGTCGTCGGGATGACTGAATCCCAAACACAGATGGTCTACCCCTTCACGCTCGAGCCGCACATCATAACGCTGGAGTCATCGCGCCAGGCCACCGTCGCTGCACACGACGCGCGGAGGGATGCATACTTGAAGAGTCGGGCGGATGAGAAGGACCGGCGGAAGCGGGACGCTCTGCGGCGTATCGCCCCTGGTTTCGAGCCTGGCGAGGGACACGTCCTGGTACCCACCAAGCGCTCCTCGTTGGTGGGATCCCCACCTCCAGTATCTGCTGCTCCCACACCGCCTGCTCCGCCGAAATCCGTCATGGACGATCTTGTCGATCGGCTGGCTGCGATGGATTCTGAAGCCGAGTCACGGTCTGCCCGCCCATAGAGCTCCCCGCTTTGGGTCCACTGTCATCTTCTCCCTTAGCGGCTCTCGAGCATCAAGCTTGCGGTCCAGACTCATCAGAGGCTAGGTACTTGGTCGGGTCATGTACTGTGCAATCCCATAATATCCGCAAGTGAAACGCAAGAGCGGTTCCACTGGCAGGATATTCTCTTTGCTTTGACTGGGACAATGACGCGGGAATGTTCTGAGGATTTTCCTGCGCTTAAGGTAAATGTCAATCATTCTCTGAACTTGGCCCGTTTTCGTATCGTCAAGTGACGACGCCTGTGGCTCGCTTGTGTCTCTTGAGGCCTGCATCCGAAACGCGAATCCGGCACGTGAACGGGCACGTTCTGGTTCGGCTACCTGATTCCAGCTTAGCATGTCCTGGCTCTCCATTATCTGCCTGGAGGATCTACATCTTAAAACCCTGGGTCGCTTTCATATGCGTTATGTTCTGCTTTTTCGGTGAATTTACACTTCTGGACAGACGCCCTGATACCAGCTACTCATGGATGCAAACGGTTCCGATTCTGCGCGTCATTCAGGAGATCGTGGTCGTAGCTGTTGATCTCGTTCTCGTTCTTGCTTCCGAAGTACGATCATACTGACTCCTTCGAGCTGCGGTCTCTCTCTCTCTCCTGCCCCTCGGCTCACCGCTGCTCATATTACGGGCCAAGTGCACTGCTCAGTTCTCGCGACGCGTCCACAGGTAGGACCGAGCACAACATGCACCCCTCTGTCGCACAGTACCCAACGTGTCCTGCTTCCGTCGATCGCTCGCTTCTCGTCAGTTTCTGTTTGTCTTGGTGGATCTATCTCGAGAGAACATTTTGCGGACTCTGGTGACTTGTGGAGAATCCTCTGCTCCAGATCGGGGAAGAGATTCGAGTCTAGTCGGACCGTGTCGCCCTTAACCCAAGAAGTGTCAACCCTAACCCAGCACTCACTTGGTACTCATCCGTTCTTGTCTTGAATCCCTCCACGATAATGTCTGCTCTGACTGGAACAACGCATGCGCTTTCTCTCCCCGAAATCCTGAATCTTGTACTTGGATGGATCTATGCAGACGACATGTATCATGCAACAGTCAGACGCCACGGCGCTGATGCTGCCGACTGGTTCAGTGTTCCTCTCGCGCCGGATTCGACTGATGAAGAGGACGAGGAGGACTGGGAGATTCTCTACTTCAGCAATGCTCACGTGCTTGTCCGCTGTGCGCTCGTCAACCACGCCTGGTTCTACGAGGCCGTCCCTTACTTGTGGAGGGACCCCTGCACGTACATGTCCGACTCATTACACTCCCACTTCAGCGGGATTTCCTCTCTAGAGAGAAAACAGTTCTATGCGAATTTTGTGCGCGTCGGGAAGGAGACTACCTCTGATGGAGCCGGAAAGAGTCGACTCAATGCACAGGAACTGTTGCTGGAGGGTCCGGACTTTCCTCGTCTCGAGGAGATGTCCATCTACCTCGACGGTTCTGGGGCTTGGATACCACCCATCCGCGGTGATAATGTGCGGGTGTTGACGCTGGATCCCTCCTTCGACGTGAATCCTGATACGTATCGCGTGAGCCGGGCGGACATGGATGGAATTCTAGATATTTTGCCCGTAGGTACTCCTCTTCTTACTTAAGGCCATGGCAATCATGGTCTCCAGATCTTCTTCCCAAATGCTCAAACAGTCGAATTCTTGGATTCGTGTTTGGCGTTCCCTGGCGCACTCGAACGCTTCCAAGCGCGCATGCCTAGGTTGGAGACCTTTGACCACACTCTAGTACGCGTCGGTACAGAGCACCCTTGGGAGATATGACTGTGGATTCAATACCTTACATATAGTAATTATTGTTAGACAAGAGAAGCGAAAGACCGCCAGAATGTTGGGTGAGGCAAGAGCAAGATGACTGAGTTCTTGGGATCAGAGTGATGATATTTCGACCTTGGAGCCCTATAGTGCCCGCTGGAAGCGCGTTGAGATCTCATATTTCTCTTCCTTGTCACGCGAGTCGAGCACATACGGATGTTTGTGACATTCCTGTCACACTGAGGGCGCGTTCCAGTCGGCTAAATGCTAGCTATCGCCTGATTCCTTACACATTCAGCATTTACTCTCCAGAGACTTGCTATATCAATTCGATCTCAGCGTTAGTTTCAGCAAAAATCAATCTCTCCGCAGGACGCGAGCACGGGCTGTAGTCATTGGGAGCTGATGGACGTTGACCAGGACCGCATCACACGCGTGCCATCCCCTGCCCCACCGACCCTTCCACCACCACCGCTCTCATATGATGAACATCGTTCTAACCAAACTCCTCTCGTTATCGACAACGGGTCTACGTATCTGCGGTACGGCTTCGCCACCTCAGAGAATCCACGGTCCGGTTTGAACGTGGTCGCGAAGTACAAGGAGCGGCGGACCAACAAGCCTCTTCTTTTGTTTGGTGACGGGGTAGAGGTGGAAGGTGGCGCGAAGATCCAGGCGCGGACGCCATGGGAGGGGGATGTGCTACTCAATTCCGAAGCGCTAGTCAGTGGTGCTCTTTCGGTGGATGAACGGATTCCCCAACTGACGGGTGCAGGAAAACGCGCTGGACTACGCGTTCGTGCAGCTGAGTATCGATGCGGAGACGGTGGAACACCCGATGATCATGACGGAGCGGTTGTGTTCGCCAATGCATTCTCGTGCTAGTGAGTGCACATATATGCGTGCGCCTGGGGCCTGGTACTCACTTGCACGTAGTCACATCAGAGCTGCTTTTCGAGCAGTACGGCGTTCCCTCAGTGGCATACTGTGTCGACTCGATCATGTCATTCTACCAAAATAACGGGCCCTCTGCAGATGGTCTCGTGCTTTCGTTCAACACCGCGTCGACATCCGTGATCCCTATTCTCTCGGGCAAGGGGATCCTCAGCCACGCGAAGCGTATACCGTGGGGCGCGTCCCAGTCCGCTGACTACCTCCTGAAGCTGGTCCAGCTCAAGTACCCGAACTTCCCCACACGAGTCACCCCACCCCAGTCTCAATGGATGCTGCAAAATATGTGCGAGTTTGCGCCGGACTACCTGTCGCTGCTGCGGTCGTTCAAATATTGTGATGTTTTACGAGCGCATGATCGGATCGTCCAGTTCCCCTTCGCACAGCTTGTGCAAGAGGAAAAGTCGCCCGAAGAGCTTGAGCGGGCTGCTGAGCGCCGGAGAGAGCAGGGCCGGAAACTCCAGGAGATGGCTGCGAAAATGCGTACGGAGAAACTCGAGCAGAAGGAAACAGATTTGCAGTTTCTGCATACTTTGCGCGACGGAAAGGATGGGGAATCCAAGAGAGATTGGATGGCAAGTTGCCTTCGTCTTCCTTGCCCCTGTCCCGTGCTTTCTGACGCATGAGATAGTATAAACTGCAAACGGAGGGTTTCGATGATGAGGCTGCCTTGGACGAGACTATCAAGAAACTAGAGTCAGATTTGAAGAAAGCTCGGAGGAAGGATGCGGTGGAGGATGACGAGGAACCGAATTTCCCGCTTGTGGATGTTCCTGACGCTGAGGTCAGAACATTATCGTATTCCTTTGCTCGGCGCATCTTGACGAGATCCTGTAGCTGGATGAGGAAGGTCTGAGAGAAAAGAAGAAGCAAAAACTGATGAAGGCGGGTTTCGAGGCCCGTGCCAGAGCGCGGAAGGAGAAAGAACGAGAGCGAGCGGAACAGGAAGAAGCCGAGCGACGAGAGGAGCAGGAGAGAGAACAAGATCTGGGTGGCTGGATTCGCAAAATGCGTCAGGAGCAGGAGGTCGGGCATTTGTCTGGCCAAGTCTCAATGCATGACTCTGTCCACAGGCACTTATGGCGCGCATCAAAGAACGTAACCGTCGAAAAGCAGCTCTCAGTGACCGGAAGAGTGCTGCAGCTCAAGCGAGGATGAAAAACATCGCCAGCCTTGCAGCAGATGAGCGCGCACCAAAGAAAAAACGCAAGGGCGGGGGCGGTGGGTGATCGGTTTCCCTGCACCAGTCACAGCTCAACTTCCATTTCCAGAGGATAACTTCGGAGCGAATGATGCAGATTGGGCTATCTATCGGAAGATCGTGAGTCCCTCATTGGGATCATACATTGCATGCGCCTTTTGCGCTGACGGTCTACTGGCAGAATATAGCGGCGCCTTCAGATGACGAGGAAGAGGACCTCAATCAACTGCAGACCATTGAGGGCAAGCTTCTATCCTACGATCCGACCTTCACAATCCTGGAAACCCACGCATCCTTGGTGTTGAAGCGGTCTGAACTGCTCACGACGCTGCGCCCTGTGTACGACGAAAACGACATTGAAGGTGTGTGATCGTTGATGGTCATGGAATTAGATCGTCTGCTGACACAATATCTGTCGCAGGCTCATACCGAGTTCATCTGAACACCGAGCGATGGCGGGTGTGTGAAACGTATTTCGCTCCGGGAATGGCAGGCGTCGACTCTGCCGGACTAGGAGAAGTCATACAGAACGTTTTGGCCCGGTTTACCAGCTCCGAAAAAGAAAAACTAGTGCAGAACGTCTTCCTCACTGGTGCCCCGACTCAGTTTCCCGGTCTAAGCGAACGGCTGCAGCTGACGATGCGGCCGATACTTGCACCGGAAATGCAAATCAATATCTGCAAGGCTGAAGATGTCAGTGCCGACGCGTGGCGCGGGATGGCGCGATTCGCGAAATCAGACGAGTTTGCCGGTGTCGGTGTCACGAGGGCGGAATATGACGAGTATGGGGGCGAGCGAACACGACGGTGGTGGGGTGGGAACTGGAATTGATTTGGTTGCGTAGCTTTCTTGCTTTGTTGTATGCTATCTGTACGTGCGGTGCAATCCAGACTTGTCGCGATTGTCACTACACACGTGAAGTCAGTCACGCGCTTGTGGTTATACCTTGACGGTCACGGGCATGAGGCCGCTCAAGCAAGCTTATGTCTTTGATATGCCTGGACTGGAACACGATCGTTTCCTGGGCGTCTAAACAACTTCTCTTACGTTGATGTGAAAGCGGGCAATAAAACCCAAGGTGCATTGCTATTCGCCGCTCATACCCATTTCTATCCTGCTGCCTGGATCATCCACCAATCATGTCCTACCCTCAATCTCTTTTCGCAGGCGTCTGTTCTCTGGATGACCTGAGAATGCGCCTCAAGAAATTCAAAGACCTGCTCACAGGTGGTGGAAACAGGAACAATACTCCAGCGCGGGGTAGTGCACTGGTCCTCCGTGTCCTTCAACGCGAACAGCCTGAAATCTGCAGGCTCGTTCTAGCCGGTAAGTCCCTGCGACGTTTAGAGTCGACCCTTATTAAACCTTGACTCCCTCTTAGACCTCCGTGAGGACTGGATCCTCGAACCCTTCCCCTCTGCGTCGACTTTTGTTGGCTCGCTTGCCCACCAGGCCCTCGTGCAGCTGTCGCTTTATTTCCAAAACACGCCGAGCACTACAATTGATACGTACAGCCGACTCTCTGATGAGCGCCCCGATAAGCGGCGCCTTCTTTGCTGTCAACTCGTGAAAGAGGCGCCTGCCGTCCTCGCGGCGCTTAGCAGCAAATTGGACTTGCTCGGTGTAGGTAAACATGGCGCCACGGCTGGAATAGAGGACCTTCCGGTCAAAAAGATGAGTCAGAAAGAGTTGAAATTGTCACGAAAGCGCCAGCTAGTGCGTGAGATCCCGCTGGACCCTGCTCCGTTCGCTCGCTTGGAGCTGGATGTCCCCGTGACAGCCGTGGAGATGGAAGCCGCTGTGGATCTCGTGCTGGATATGCAGAAGGGGATCCTGCAGGTGTGTGCTTGGGCCGTTCCTGTGGGATGCGACTGAAATGCTTGCCAGGACTACCTAGAGGCGTTGCGGTGCCCTGAGCTTAGAAGATCGATCGAAGACACGTGTCTTCCTTCGAATTCGTTTGTTGTTCAAGAACACGATGCGGCTACATTCATGAAAGATTCCGATGTGGACTGTGTGGAGGCGCTGGTCACTGCATCCAATGACGAAAAGCAGGACTATCTGGAGCACCATGTCAGCATGTATGTGCTTCAAGGCCAACCATTTGGCTCATCTGACCTCTTATAGCAACACCCTCTACGCGGACAACGCCGCTGGTTTTGGTGAATGGATGATCAATCTCTCCCCTCGTGCGAAACGCGACTTGCGAGATCTTAATCGCCGCGACCGCAAGATCTTCAAGATCGTCGTCAAGAAGATCAAGTGCGCTCAGACTCCATATGTTCGATATACTTGACGGTATTTCTTACATATCCCTACGCAGGGAGCTCTCGAATGGGCGTTTCTCGTCCGACAATCAGAAGCGGTTGAACGGACAACAGACTGATGTTCCTGTCTATGAGGCCAAGATGACAGGAGATTGGCGATTGGTGGTACGCTGCTCTGATGTCGGAGGTCGCTCGTTGAGGCTGAAGTGATGTCAAGTATCATATCGACTGTATCCCTGCCATCAATTCCGAGGTAAGACGCACAGAGATATCTTGTATCTGGTACTCAAGTTTTGCTGTATGCTCAGTCCGAACAACAAGGTGTGACATACACTACTTGCCTACATTGTGCAGCTCACTGGCCATAGCCATCAAGATCTTTGGTGTCTACACCCATGCTCAGATTGGGCGCGTCTCTTTTTGGGATTCCATGGGCCGGGAACTGGGAAAGAAAGGGAAAGAGTACAGGGAGAGGTCAGTTCTCGCACTTTGATTTGGTACATCACTCAAAGACTATATGGAGATGTGCGTTCCGCAAAGCGCCTCATAATCCCGGCGACTACGTTTTCTCGCCCGGTATCTTTCCTGCGCCGGAGGAGTCGCGTGCGCTGCCTTCAGGAAATGTCCCCGATCTTCCGCCGGATGATTTGGAAAATATACAGGCGCTGTTGATGTTTGTGGCCGCTCTCGAGCATCCTCGCTTGATCTTGACATCTTACAGCAAATCCGTGTCTTTCTCCAAAGCGATGCTCAAGGCCATCATTGCCGACCTGGATATCGCGTTTGTGCTGCAAGTCTCGTGCGTCTCCGTTTCCTCGTGGAGTGTTGTTACTTACACCCTCGCAGACCGACTGAGAAGGCCATCATCGAGCATCCTGATTCCTGTTACGTGATCGGTCGAAGTGGCACTGGGTGAGCGACTCCCTGGGTAGACTGTCATGTGCTGACCAGCGGCCAGAAAAACGACCACAATGCTATACAAGATGCTACTCATCGAGGCAGACTACGAACTCGCGAAGGGAACAGAGCATGAAGTCAGAAAACGTCGGCAGCTCTTCGTTACGCAGTCGCGTGTCCTTGCTGGGAAAGTGGAGGAACACTTCGGCAGACTGTTTGCAGGGTATCGACCAATGAAAGTTGCACAGCCCGCCCAAGACCAGGATGGGAATGGCCAGGAGGCACTACTCGACGCCGACGATGTAGTCGATTGGAGGAGCGATCTCCCACAGCGATACAGCGAGCTTCGAGACGAGCATTTCCCACTGTTCCTGACCTTTGACCGAGCGAGTCCTTCTATATTTGATATGTTTTTTTGGGGAGTCTAACTTTTGACGTAGCTCTGTGATCTCCTTGAGGGGGATTACGAGAGTGGCTTTTCCTCAGCACGTAAAGTCACATACGATCGATTCATTCAGTCGTACTGGCCGCATTTCCCTCAAACACTGACCAAGGCGCTGGGCAAGTCTTTGATGCCTTCGACTCTGCAGTTGGGGTTGATGATTCTCGGGCTGATCCTCCCTCAGATCCAGCGATGGTGTTCAGCGAGTTCATAGGTTTGCAGCGTCTCTCATCCAATCACAGCCAAGCGATCTTATCCATTGATAGGTGTCATCATGGGATCGGAGGACACATTGGACTCAAGGAACGTTGCCACGTATCTAGACAGGAAGACGTATCTAGGGCTCAGCGAGCGCACACAGTCCACATTCGCTACTCAGCGCGCGGAGGTTTATGGGCTGTTTGAAGCGTACTTGGCTCGCAAACGGGCTCTACAGGATCATGATGCTGCTGATCGGTGCGCTTGTTGTAAAGTGTGGTCTCGGCGGCTGAAACAGATGCATCATGTAGGACGCATGCGCTTTTGAGACATCTTCAGACACATCGTCAGAAACAAGGAGTTCCCGAGCTGATCAAGCTGGACTATCTGTGAGCCTCGGTGCAGCTATGTATTCGACGTGGACTACGACTGACTGGGCCAAGATATGTCGACGAAACTCAGGACAACTTGCTCATCGACTCTCTATGTGAAGTTAAGCATCCGTGGGATTAAGCATCTTTTCATCGTTTATCAGTGCTACGATCCATCTGCCACAATCCGAATGGTCTGTTCTGGGCTGGGGACACAGCTCAGACAATTTCCGTTGGGAGCTCGTTTCGATTCGATGACCTCAAAGCCTTCTTGTATCGTGTTGAGGTCTGCTTCAGCGTGTCCGACATATATACTCCGTTGTGCTGAGGAGCTGCGCAGGAGAAACACACACTCTCACACAAGGGTTCTGCGGCACACGTCTATCAAGCTCGGCCTCCCAAGTCATTCCAGCTGACTGTTAACTATCGCTCGCACGCGGGGATCGTCAACTGCGCGAATACTGTCATCTCGCTGTTGACATCGCTATGGCCGTACTCCATCGATGTCCTGGACAGAGAGCGAGGGACGGTGAACGGCTCGCGGCCTGTGTTTTTCACTGGATTTGATTCAGGGAATGTGGAATACGAGCAGTTTCTGTTCGGAGATCGGGAGTGCGTGTCATGACATCTGATTCATCGAGACAAACTGACTTCAAGACTTGCTTGCAGTGGAAGCTATATCGAGTTCGGTGCCCACCAGTGCATTCTTGTCCGAAATGATGCCGCCCGAGATAAGCTGAGGGAGCAGGTCGGCGATATTGGACTGATCATGTCCGTTCATTTCAGGCCTTCTTGAGGTCGCGATTGTCCCATCTGATGTTGTTGTGTTTTCAGGACTTTGTATGAAAGCAAAGGTCTCGAATTCAACGATGTACGGGTCGGATGGCTTGTAGGTTAATACCGTTCATCTGACGTGCATTCCAGGTACTGTTGTACAACTTCTTTGAAGACTCCACCGTGGCCGGAGCCCAATGGCGCGTGGTGCTGAACGAAGTGGATGATCCGAAGCAGCGGCTTACTGTGCCCACTTTTGACCCTATGCGACACGCGAGCGTGTGCATGGAGGTGCGCTGTGCCTTACCGAGGGTGGCATTCCGTCGTAATGACTCCGTTTTCAGCTCAAGTTTCTGTATGTCGCGATTACCCGAGCGAGGAACAACCTCTGGATTGCCGATGCCACTTCGAAAGGAGAGCCCATGCGGGTTTGTGGTCGTTTGCACCGTCCCGCTCAGACACTCACTTCGCTGAAGATCCTATGGACAAGCAGAGACCAAATCCAAAACTGTACACCTGGGTCCGACACACCGAAATTGGCGTCAAACTCGACCGATGTTGAATGGAGACAGCAGGGCCGGAAACTGTTTGCGAACAAGAACTACTATCAGGCCAAGCAATGTTTCGAACGTGGAATGGAGCCGAGGTTGGCAGCGATGGCTGAGGCTTACTACCTGCGGCAAGAGGCCCGCAAGGTCCCCGACACCAACAAACGCCGAGACATGGACACACGCAAGATTGCGTTCATCAAAGCCGCTGAAGCGTTCCTTCGGTGTGCTCGAGTCGAGCCGGACCCCAGCGCCCAGGCTTACTTGCGTATTGCAGCGGAATGCTATGAGCTTGCGGGGGACGAGTTGACTGCGGCGCTGATTTATCGGGATGCGCGGGAGTTCACGCGCTCGACTGAGCTGTATCGGAAGCTGGCCAAATTCGATGAGGCGGTGGACAATATCTTGAAACACGGGGATGCGATCAAGCCTGAGGTGGTGGAGAAGGTGACAAATGTCGCGAGACTGTTCTATTTCAATGGACACCAACTGGAGTAAGTTCGAAATAAACGTTGATAGCAGCGATTGACTGAATGGAAAACAGGAAAGCGAGTCGACTGTTCTCTTCCACTGACGAGGCACTGGAGTATCTGGATGACCGAGGGCTCGATATGCCTCGCGCACAACTGCTGGAGTCGCTGGGCCAATATACTGCCGCTGCAGAGATCCACCTGGAAGAGGGCCGGACGCTGGATGCCATCAAGCTCTTCCTTCGAGAGGATGTTCGCCGGGGCACAGAGTGCATCTTGCGTGGACTTTGGCAACACGTGACGTTTGGAGTCGTCCCGGTAGTGAGTGGTGAGTTGGAGCAGCTGCTGAGACTGGCAGAAAAGGCGGATTTGTCCATGTTGTCCGAGAATGACAGGCAGGAGGTGCGTCAATTGAGCGCCGATGGTTGAACCATGTCACTGAGACCGCACCAGCTTTCGATGTTCTGTTGTATCTTCGCCGAAAAGACTGCCGAGATCGCTCGACTCGGAGAGCAATTCGAAGAGAAACGGGATGTTGCTGCCGCGCTGCTTTGCTTGGACAACTATTTCCGCTCACCGCCCAAGATACAAGTGCTCAGCGCTCGAGACGTGTCTGAGCAGCTGCGCTTGTTCGGCTGCTACATGCGTGTTCTCAATTGGGTGACCTGGACCGATCCGTGTTCATATCCAGAGATCGGCAAGTTGTTTGGGTTCACGCGTGCTGGAGAAAACAGCTTCGTTCTGCGTGCGAGCACTTGGCTGAACCCGCACCCTACCGATGATTCCATGGTCAACAGCGCGGAGTTGCGGATGTTATTCCAGAACAAGATCAAGCCGCGACTTCAGGGTTGTTTCGTCACCGAAAACGAGGTCTGTATGAGGAGGACACGGGCGTTTTCTCCGTGTTTGTTGTATGCGCTGTTCGATGGGACGTGCAACCGCGTAGACTGTCCGAACGAGCACCTTGCTAGGTCTCAGATTGACGAGGAACAGTATATGTATCGGGTGCGGATCTGTATGCAGCAGATTGTGATCGTGGGGACGGTGCAGTTCGCAGTGAACGACTCGTCGATCAAGCGGTGCGTGTTCAATGTTCGGTTGTCTGATCTGGTGACTTGATTGCATCTAGCCACTGGATCCAGCAGCTCTACTCTACACTGTATCCCTCCGACTATCGGCTCGGCTCAGTCTCGCGCCTTGATCTGACCCAGATTCCGGAATCTGAACAAGCGCTGCAGACGGTGAAGGAATGGATTCGAGCCTGGGTATACGAACTGTCGTTCAAACCCGGGGCTAGATTCCTTTCGGACTTGGCAATGGTGGCTCGGATGGCTTTCCAGCTCGATCCCGGGGGCGCAATGACGTATCTGACGATGAGCCCAGTGATGCAGCTGCAGCCGGACATGTACAAGCGCCGCAGTGGACGGGACGAAAACTATGTGGTCGGGGAGTTTTTCGCGCACTGTGAAGGGCGGGAGAAAAGTTGTATTCCCATGGGGATCATGTTCGTCCGGTGAGCTGTCTTTGACTTGCGCTTGATGATTTCGAGAGCTGATCTGGAGTCGCTTCTCGAGTCATATCTTGACGAACGAGCTCCCGATCCAGATTAGCGTGCTTTGCGACTTGCTCGAGTACTTGTGCACGCGCATCGTCGTCGCCGACCGGATGGCTCGTGGTTCCCCGCATAACCTCACCCTGCCACTCAGTTGGCTGTCGAATTGGCGGAGCGTTGTCGGAGAGGGAAAACGTGTGATCAGTGCTTCCGACCTGTTCACGCAGAGCCTAGTCACGCTGCTGACTTGCCTTTACTACGGCGAGCGTGCGGAACATCTCTTATACGAGAATCGGCATCTTGGGATGTTGGGCTGGAGGCATCGGGATGTGTTTCTCTCTCGGATGTGAGTGGGTTTCAGTCTGCAGTCGCGTTTTGCGTTCGGATTCATCTGATCATGCACCTATTAGCTGTCGCTGCTACAGTTTGCTTGCGTATAACATGCCTAATCGAAGGCTCCAGTATGACACGAGCAGGAGGATCTCACTGGGACGCTCGGATCCCAGCTACAGGAAGATGACAATGTCGCATGGGTATCTGATCGCTGAGAACTGGCGGGCTACGGTGAAAGCGCTCCGCCGCTCGACGGCTGATTCGCCTCTAGACGAGCTGGTCCTGCTGTACAGTGCTGACTCTCCACCGCCTCGACCGATTCGCAACGTTCGTCCGATTGTTTTCCAGACTATCGATGACATTCCTCGACTTCTCGGTTCCCGAGAAGTTCGCGTTGAGGCCAAGCCGGACACCACCGCCATCGAGGTTCTCATTCCAGAGGAGGATGAAGAAGAGGAGGAGCTGATCGAAGGAGACTCTGTGTTGCTGCCTGAGAGCAGTGCTGCAGCAGCTGTCCCTGAGGAGGTGGTGATTCCCACAATCGAAGCCGTGCAGAGGACGGAGGAGGAGATCCACAAGGCTGTCGTGATTCAGCGGGCGTTCCGACAGATGTTAGCCAGAAAGCAAGCTGTCGCAAAGCAGGCGACGCTGGCTGCTGGCTGCTCGGCCTGGTTCGAGGCGTGTCTCAAAGTAGCGCCCGCGGACAAGGTCAAATATCGGGTGCGCTTCCTCGGGCCGCTGCCGCATCTGCTCCTTTGCCTGGAGGATGTATCGGCGACTATACAGGAACAGAAGAACCGGGTCAAGAAGGGGCTGAAGGATGCAAGGCATGAGCGCTTGGAGGAATTGGATGGGCATTTGACGAGGATCACGTGCGTGTGCAGATGGTTTTGCTCCCTCTGCTCGGAGACTCACGACGTTTCTTCAGTCAAGCGTTGAAGCGGATCAAGCGCACGCAGAAGCAGCTGTCACCGACGTCACCGATGCACGACGCGCAGGACGTTGGGCAGCTCAAGAAAGCCGTGAACGAGGCGGTCGAGCTCGTGCGTGAGTTGGCTGAAACATGGACGTTGTCGGAGGGTGTGATGGATGTGCATTTGGAGAGAGCGTATAAGGGGATTGTGCAGCCGAGAATTGTGAAGCCAAAGAAGAAACCAGAGTTGAATCTGGACGAGGAAGATCTATTGTATCTCTTGTAATCTTGTACACAAAGGCAGGTTTTCGTATCTTGACTGAGATGCAGGACCGGAATGCGTCTGGTCCAAACGACGGCGACAGCCATACTCTGGGAGATGGAATCGAAATGGGTGACAAAAAGAGAGCCGAGTGAAGTAAGACGAACTTTGCCGGGTGTCTAATAAGATCAAGAGACGAGCGACCAAGCTTTCGCCGTCTCCAGGCCCGCATTGGATGTGCCGTTGATTCCAGTAGCACTGATCGTGAAGTCAATTGTCCGTCGTGAAGTCAGTCGCCCACAACTCTAGATGGGGCAAGGACTCATTAGTGGCACGGCACAGCGAACCAATGGGGAATATATTGGTCCGTTTCCTGCCTCCCACTGACTCCTGGAAACGAACTAGCACCTTCGATGGCTCGGAAGACTCGGGTATGACTTCAGCATATCTGCCAATATCTGCGTCTTGCTTGCCGCAGTCGATTCCGATCACAATCACCCGACCTCGGACAGTGTTGATGCACTGACCATCGGGCACTGTCCTCACTGGCTCCAGACATTCAGCTGGCACATAAGCGTTATCGTAGCCGCCCAGCCGGATCAGCACAAATTTCTGCATAAAAAGGCGTCAATTCCAGGGCATGCTTTGAGAGGGGACTACAAGCCCTGTCTTGCCAGCATGTTGGAATGTCTTCTTCTTGAAAGCATTAAGAGGGCGGCTGTTTTTGCCCTTCAATCGCTCCTTTTCCTTGTCTCTGGCATTCTCGATCTCTGCCACTGATTTCACTCTAACGTCGACGCGCTTGCCCATCAAGTCTGGATGCGCAAGCCACAGATCATCATGCTCAAAAACGTCTTACAGTTAAATCAGAGATCTCTCTGGATTCTGCTCTTGACAGACCCACCTGTTGGCTTATCGGACAACGATGATCCCTTGGGCGTCTCATAGTTTCCTTCCACGCTCTCATCTGGGGGCGGAATTACCTCTCGATGTGGATTTCTGATGCGGTGGAGCAGGTCGTCGTAGAACGTGTCCGGTTGTGAGTCCTGTACAGTTCTGCGACGAGGATCAGCGAAGCAAGCCGCATGCACGAAGAACATACTGAATCTCGACCACCTGGTCCAATTCCACGTAAGCCTTGGCGCCAACGTCCAGATTTAAAGTGAGCTCGACGACACGCTCCCGCGCAGATTCCTGCCCGACAGTAGGCTTCTTGGGTCGATCAATGTGCCGATAGCCAACAACAAGTCCAATATGCCCCTCGTGGGCATGTTTGCCGGTGATCATGAAGCGCCGGCCCGTGAAACCGAACCTAGATTCCATGAGGTGTCGTTGGGCTTTGCTTGTTGGTATCCGGTCGTGTCGGGTGCAAGCAGCGCAATGGCCCAAGAGGGATAACAGAAGAGGGACAGCAGCCCACGCATAGATGTGACGCCAATGGTCACATCACTCCTCAATGGAGGACTTCAACCACCACATCGCCATAAAGCTGTCCAGGGCACTTAACACAATCAACCCGAACGATTTATTGGCCCGTAGTGTCACTGAGATAGCCAAGTCCAATTCGGTGGAGGACTTCATCAAAGGTTTGTCTTCCAGATCAAGCTGGTCTATCCTATACATATACTGGACGGTCCTGACGCTCTTCTCTCCAGCGGCGCGAGCTTTCGGCAAGTTTCAGGACCATTTCTTAGCTGAGATCCATGCCGAGATCTTGTCGCATGAAAAGCAGGAAGCGACCGGCCTCGTACCGCGACCAGTGGAGGGGATTACCGTGCATGACTCTGAGGTGCTGGAACCCGCGCCGGCACGGCCTGGCGGGCTCATGCGGCCAGATCAGGTAAGCGCCCGCCATTTTCGGCCTTCAATCCACGTCCTGACGCCTTCACTTCCAGCGACACACTTTCCGCCAACCTGCCAAACCACTGGAGCCGCCCACCCCCCGTGCTTCCGTCCTCGGTCTCGACCGACTCGCGCAGGAGAAGAGAGCAGCCGCAGCAGCTGAGGAGGGGAGCAGGAAACGGCCTCGATTGGATGACTCCGAGCCTGTTTTCAAGGGTGTGTGACGGCGTTCACTTCTTTGCATTCAAGTCCTCATCTGGCACAGTGCCGAGCCTGCCCGTATCACGATCCAGCAACCAGCGGCATCGAGGCGAAGAAACTCCCTCCCATCCCGGTGGTCTGTCAGAGGTCGCGCGAAAAAGGTTGGAGGAGCACAGACGGAGTCGAGAAAAGCAACGAGGTGCGTTCGCTGCCATACAACATCAGCTCGCTTATGCTACGAAGAGGGTATCTCCGCTGCAAACGAACGTCGGGAGGACGAGCCAAAGGGTCTAGGCGACTTCCAACGGCGGTCCAACCGTGACCGCGACCGAGGCTGGAGCCAACGAGGTGATAGGAACAACGGCCGCAGCTGGGATAGCACGCCGCGTTCTGTTAGAGGTGGGAATGGAGATGCTCCGAGTGTGCGAGTGCCCAACGTTGGGTGGGACTCGACCCCCCGCAGAGCCGGGGATTCAGAACCCGGTCGAGGAACTGCCAACCGCCGTTGGGACGCCCCCACTCCCAGGAACGTCCGCGCCGGCAGTCCAGAGTCTGCTATCGGTCTCGATGCTCGGGAGTGGGAGGAAGAACAAATTCGTTTAGATCGTGATTGGTATTCCGGCGCCGAGGAGGGTGGGATTGCTGGTGACGAAGAGCATAATCCATTGGCTCAATATGAGGATTTGAGTGCCCTCAAAACGGCAGAAATTGCGCAGAAACAAGTGGTGGGTGTTATTCTTTCGCTACCGAGAATCCTCTGGCTAATCTACCTTGCAGAAAAAAATCTCTGCCAAACAAGCTCAATATGTAGGTGGCTGTCATTCGACGTTCGGAACTATCCCTAATTGACCGCCTAGAATGCCGACAACGACCTCTGGGAGTCTAACCGAATGGTGACATCCGGAATAGCCACTCGCAAAGGTGTGGACATGGACTTTGAGGACGAGTCTGAGTCCACAGTGCATGTGCTCGTTCATGATCTGAAACCTCCTTTCCTTGACGGGCGGACTGTGTTCACGAAGCAACTCGCTCCCATCAATCCCATCCGAGATCCCACGAGCGATATGGCCGTGTTCTCCCGCAAGGGAAGTGCGTTGGTGAAAGAGAAGCGGGAGCAAGCGGAACGAGCTAAGGCTGCAGCAAAGCTCGCCGCGCTCGGAGGAACAGCGCTGGGCAATATCATGGGGGTGAAAGACGAGGAAGCTGACGCCCAAGGTGCGTTTTTCGTTTGCGGATGGCCCAGAGTGTGGACATTCACGTAGTTTCCGGTGAACAGCTGAAGAAGAGCGGAAAGAAAAGGAGCGCAAGGCAACCGGGCAGACGGATGACTACAAGGGCGACTCCAAGTTTGCCTCGCATCTCAAGGCATCGACGGGTGTCAGCAGTTTCGCGAAGAGCAGGACACTCAAACAGCAGCGCGAGTACCTGCCGGCGTTCGCCAGCCGGGAAGAGCTGCTCAAAGTTATTCGGGAGAACCAAGTGATTGTGGTCATCGGGGAAACGGGGTCTGGAAAGACTACGCAGCTGGCTCAGTTCTTGTACGAGGATGGGTACTGTCAGCACGGTCTCGTGGGATGCACACAGCCTCGGCGTGTGGCTGCCATGTCTGTCGCCAAGCGAGTCAGCGAGGAGATGGAGTGCAAGCTGGGCTCGACTGTCGGCTATGCGATCCGGTTCGAAGACTGCACGTCCGCGGAAACCAAGATCAAGTACATGACCGACGGTGTACTCTTGCGTGAATCTCTGAACGAGGGCGATCTGGATCGGTACACCGTCATTATCCTGGACGAAGCGCACGAGCGTTCACTCAACACCGATGTCCTGATGGGGCTGCTCAAGAAGAGTGTGTGCGTTTCTTATGAGCGTGATTTGTTTTACTGACATCCGCGCTAGTTTTGTCTCGACGTCGAGATCTCAAGCTCATCGTGACTTCAGCAACGATGAACGCAGACAAGTTTTCGTCGTTCTACGGCAACGCGCCTACTTACACGATTCCCGGACGAGCCTTCCCTGTCGAGACCTTCCACTCGAAATCTCCGTGTGAAGACTATGTCGACAGTGCTGTGAAGCAGGTGCTTCAAATTCATTTGTCGCTTCCAGCCGGGGATGTTCTAGTTTTCATGACAGGACAAGAAGACATTGAGGTTACTTGTCAGGTCATCAACGAGCGAGTGGCTCAGTTGAACGAGCCGGCGCCGATTGCGGTGCTGCCAATCTACTCGCAGATGCCGGCGGATCTGCAGGCCAAGATCTTCGACGCGACGAGCGATGGGCGGCGCAAAGTGATTGTGGCTACCAACATCGCCGAGACGTCATTGACAGTCGACGGTATCTTGTATGTCGTCGACGCGGGGTACTCGAAGCTCAAGGTGTACAATCCCAAAGTGGGAATGGACGCGCTCCAGATCACGCCGATCAGCCAGGCCAATGCGACACAGCGGACGGGGCGAGCGGGGAGAACCGGCAGCGGATTTTGCTATCGGCTGTATACGGAGATGGCCTTCCGGAATGAGCTGTTTGAGAGTACGATCCCGGAGATCCAACGGACGAATCTTGCCAACACGGTGCTGCTGCTCAAGGGCCTGGGCGTGAAGAACCTGCTCGAGTTCGATTTCATGGATCCGCCTCCACAGTCGAACATCCTCAACTCGATGTACCAGCTGTGGGTGCTCGGTGCGCTCGACAATGTCGGGGATCTGACTTCGGTCGGACGGAAGATGAACGAGTTCCCGATGGAGCCGAGCATGGCCAAGATGCTGATTGCGTCGGTCGGGTATCGCTGCTCGTCGGAGATGCTGACGATCGTGTCGATGCTGTCCGTGCCGAGCGTGTTCTACCGGCCGAAGGAGAGGATGGAGGAGGCAGATGCTGCGAGGGAGAAGTTCAATGTTCCCGAGAGCGACCATCTGACGCTGCTGAATGTGTTCAACCAGTGGAAGAGCCATAGCTTCCGCGACGAATGGGCGATGCGGCATTTCCTGCATCCCAAGCTGCTGCGCAAGGCGCGTGAGGTGCGGGTGCAGCTGGAGGACATCATGAAGTTCCAGAAGATGGAGATCATCTCTGCGGGGACGGACTTTGATGTGCTGCGCAAGGCGATCGCGGCGGGGTACTTCCACCAGGCGGCGCGCGCCAAGGGAATCGGGGAGTTTGTGAACATCCGGTCTGGGCTGCCGACGCATCTGCATCCGACCAGTGCACTTTACGGGCTTGGATGTATGTGTCCTCTCGTGGTATCTATCTATTGTGATTTGTGCTGACTGTTTTACCTAGACACGCCTCCCTACGTGATTTATCACGAGCTGATCCTGACGTCGAAGGAGTACATGACTCAGGTGACCGCGATTGATCCATACTGGCTGGGTGCGTGTCTCTTTCTCTTTCGGGGGTGCGTTCTCTGCTAACATCTCGATAGCTGAGCTTGGATCTGTCTTCTACTCGGTCAAGGAAAAGAACTTTGACGAACGAGGGAACCGGCGACAGGCCGATCGCGAGTTCTCAAAGCGGGCTGAGATCGAGACTGAGATGGCGCGGCAGAGGGAAGAGTGCGTGTTTTGGCCCGGATCTGCAATCAGTTTCCAGCTACTGACTACTCTTTGGCAGAACCGCACAGAAAGCGGCGGATGCGGAGCTGGCTGCGCAGACGAGCAGCAACAGCAGCTCCCGAGTCATCGTGCCTGGGACACCGCGGCATGCGGGGAACGGCGCTGGTGGGCGAGTCGGACAGACGCCCAGGCGGATACTGGGTCTCTGAGAGGAGAATTGTGTGTAGCAGCTTTGTAGTGTGTACACAATATAGCATGTAAGCTAGAGAGCGGCAGGGCCTTGCATCCGACAATTCCACAACTCCCTGCTCAGACCGAATGGATAGACAAGGACATTGTGTGAGGAACCATGAGCCCTCTCGCCCGAATGACCCGGACTGAAACCGGAGAAGGCTCAGAGGACCCCATGCATTGGAATTAGATGCTAGATATTACAAGCTTGGTATGATACTACTATGGTCATAACTTTATAACATTAATACAGCGTTTCGGAATTTCGCCGACGAACGGATATATCTCCCGCAACCTCTAGACGACGTCCTTCCTGACCCGCCTGTGCTTGCTCGCCTTGGCGCTGCGCATCCGGATGCGCTCTCCATACACGTAGAACACGAACGGGATCGGCAGGATGACGACGCTGACGAGCGCGAGCAGGAGGCCGGCGTACTGGAAGCCCATGTGGTGGAACATCTGGTTCACGAAGAGCGGGACAGTTGCACCCACGAGCGAGCGCATCAGCGTCTTCGCTGCGATCGCCGAGGCGGCGAACTCGGAGTACGAGTCGACGATGTACGAGTTGGCGGACACGTAGAGCAGGATCATCGAGAAGCCGAAGATGGAGCCGGCGACGCACGGGCCTGGTGAATGGAACCATGCATGAGCAGGGTTGGCGGAGGCGCACCAGGAAACAGACATACCCATGAAATTCACCCAACGATAGCCTCCGGTGAATGCAAAGATAAAGAGAGCACAGGGCAATGTACTGCTGAAATTCAGATGCCGTATGAGCAGGAACAGCTTGGCACTTACATGGATCCCAGGAGCATCGGGTACAACCTTGCCTCGGGGAAAGTCCCATTCTTGGTCACTTTGGCGTAAATATTCTCTTGACGCGGCATGAATATCATGGCGATGGCAATACCAATCTGCGCTTGAAATCAGCTCCATGAAAATGAAGGACATGCAGAAGACTTACGGCAACGCTGACCAGCGTGGTGCCAGTGATGCCACCTCCAAAGCCTCGAACTTCAGCAAATGCGATCGGAAAGGCGAAGAACAACAAGTCTATCCAAGCGTAAGTGTCCGTCGGCATTCAGACAGTAGTCGAAACATACAAAGCAGGGCATAAACAAAGGAGAGATCTAAATAGACCAAGTCAGCATTGTAGATCCACTCAAACGCTTGAATCAACTCACAAAAAGACATAAACAGCACAACCGGCTCCATGAACATCATGACCAGCGGCCGCGTCAACGCATCCTTCATCTTCCGGCCGATCGGCACCTTTTCAATCTCTGCCAACGACCGGTAGTTGCTGTCTCCTGTCTCCTTGCGCATCGCGGCGGCCTTGCGTTGAAGAAGGATCGGAGCGAGGGTCTCGGGGATGAAGAGCGTGAACACGAAGACGCAGCCGGTGAAGATAAACAGGACCCAGTAGATCCATCGCCAACCTGCGCGCTCGCCGATCCAGCCTCCGAAGATGGGGCCTAGACACGGGCCCAAGCTGGTCTCTGGTTAGTGCGATGGGTTATGCGGTATGTATGGGAGATACGTACAAGACGGTGACGGAGAACATGGCCATCGGAATACCTCGCTGCTCGATTGACCAGATATCGGTGATACTGTGGTTCGCACCCGTCAGCGATGGATCCGATGAAACGCTTTTCTAGGCTCACCTGCCGCCCACGTTACACATCGGCGCAGAGGCAGCCAGACCTGCGATCTGACGCGCCACGACCAAAGTAGCCGAGTTCTTGGCAAGCGCGCTGGGTAGCGTGAAGATGAAGTAGAAGAACATGCTGATGATGTAGATCGGGCGGCGACCGAAAACTTCTGAAAGAGGCGCCAGCACGAGGGGGCTAGAGGAGCGGTCATGAATGTCTGACAAGCGGAGTTGGAACATATACGAACCCGACACCAAATCCGATAACGAAACATGTAACGCTGAGGTTGATGACCTCTTGCTGTGCATGCAGGCTCGCAGCAGGGCCTTGTAAACTGGTCAAGAACGGTCAGCAACTCAGTTCGAACAACAACAGCGGCATCTGGACGTACTCTCCAGTGACTATCGAGCTCCCCAGCGCGACCGTCAAACATACTAGAAGCATCTCAGCAAACTGCCCACGAAAGAACTCAAGGTCTGTGCACTCACGGAATGCGGTCGTAATTGTAACATACCACTTCCGCCCCGAGCTCCATTCACGTGGGTCCTCACCGGCGCCGGGCGTAAACATCACGACATGAGGGTCGACCTCCTTCGACGGGAGCACGCCGACAGGGGACCCGACGCGCGTCAGCGACGCACGGGGTGAGCCCTCGGCTTCGAGCTGCCGGAACATCTCCTCCTGCTCGGCCGAGAGCGCCGGCGGGTCGGCGAATTCCGCTTCAATTGGTTCAGATGGCATGCTTTTGCGGGATCAAGCGACAATGGGCGGTGGGTGTCGAGGGGGAGGGGGAGGGGCGAGTCTGTCTGGGTTCTGACGGTGGGCCGCGCAGGGGTTTATATGCTGCTGGGGATCGTGCGCGACGCCCGCGGATGGGGACGACGCAAGAGGTGCGCGTCATAGTGCGTGTCCGAGCGGACCGCGTACATCGGGATCAACTTGAAACCGACGATTTGCGCTGTGGACGACGGCGCGCTAGAGGCAAGACTGCGGGGAGTAGGCACGAGAGGAGCAAGATGCGAAAGGCCTCGAGTTCAATGCGTGGCTTCTGGCAGTCTGGTGTCCCCCCATCCTCACTTCTTCAGATTGAAGGTCGATCTGTGCATAAACCCAAGAACAGATCCTTCATATTGAAGATCGGTGGCGTTGATTGCGCATCAATGTGTCATCACGATCTTGGTCGGGGCTAGTCGGGCCAATGTCGAGCCGGAGACCAGCTCGCAAACAGGGATTGAAAGAGTCTTGAAGTCAATAGTGTGCCGTTCCAGGAACTCTGGACGTTGAGCGACAAACCTTCGTCGACAGGGCTCCTTTGACTTGAGAGACTTGAAGCAAGTAGATGTCTAAGACCCGT